ATTTTAATTTGTGGTTCTGGGATTTGAACTTGGGACCTTACACTCTACCACTTGAGGCTCATCTCCAGCCTTGGACCCTGATCCTCCTACCTATTCATCCTGTCTCCCACATAACTGGGATTACAAGTGTGTACCACCATGCCTGGCCCTATGTATAACTTTAACTTTTTAATTGTTGTAATCTGAAATATACTAGGTTGCAAAGAAACTGGTAGCCATTGCTTAGGCCCTTAATTTCATTTGGGTTTGCTCTGAATCAGTAAGGCCTCCATTTCTCAGAGAAAGACATCCACTAGCCCTCTCAGTAGCTATGACTCTTTCTCCAAGTACAGGTATTCTAATTTTTGCACCACAGAGTTTGTTTACACACCTTACAACAGGAGCGTTTGTTTTCATTTAATGAATCATAAAGTTTCACCCAGTTTTTGTTCTTTTTGTAAAACTGAGGAGGCTTGACATTTGATGGTTATTAATAGCTTACACAAGAGTTTTTCAGTAGAAAATGGGTGTCTCTTGCTCTTCTTAGAGGAGTAGAAGAGAAAGTTGTTTTTATATGTGAGCGGTATCTTTTTCATGCTATTATAAGACAGCATGAAGAAAGGCATAGTCAAAAGATAAGGGGTAGGACACTTAAGACCTGAGTTGGTCAGCAGAGCTGGAGATGAAAAAAGCTTTGTCCTTGGTAGTAGTCCTGAACATAGGTTTGCACTGGTTTCATAAATAAACTATTGAAAGTCTTCTAAATATATCATCTAATAACATGGATCTGTGCTGTATTACACAACACTAAGAGCTTAAGACAAATTCTTTTTTCCCCAATTGTTACAGGTAAGAGATAAGATTATGACTTAACTTGTGGGTAGAAATAAAACTCACAGAAGATCTTATTACCCATAGGAAGCATAAAATACTACGAATTGTGCAATTTGGTTATTTTCATTTCCAGTTTTGCTCCACTAATGATATTGACATACTAAAAGAGGTATTGTGATCAATTCTGTTTCCTCAAAAAGCTTCTAGCAAGGATTATCCTTGTAATAAACTAGAGAAGAATAAAGCAAAATTTGCCTATGTTGAAATTAAATAGGTAACTCTTAAACTTGAATTTGATACAGTTCTTACGTAGAACAATTTGTGTAGCTATTGATGAATAGCTCAATTTGGATTTGTTAAAACAGCCCCACCTACCTGCATGAAAAGATTTCATAGTGATGATTAGAAAGTAATTGATTTAATGTATGTTACTTGGTTGTGCAGGTCTCTTGTTTGTTTAATCTGCACAAACTGATCTATAAGTTTAAACCTATAATTGAAAGACTTTTTACATCAGTACTTCAAAAGATAACACTGTTGTATTGTATTTGACAAATAGTATTCTAAATAAAATGGAACCATGAAAATACTGCTTTTGTACTTACAACTAATATCAAAATATAATATTTAAATTTTTATATTCTTTCGGCTTTTAGACTTTTTAAGACTTTTTTTTTTTAAGGTTCTGCCATGTATCCACGTATGCCATTCTAATATGATACTCAACAGTTTCGTTGCCTTAAAAATCTTCTGTACTCTGCCTATTCACCTCTGCTTCCTCCTTAACTCCTGGCAACCATTGATCTTTTTACTGTCTCCATAGTTAGAATTATACAGTACATCGCCTTCTTAGATTGACTTATTTTACTTACTAATAGGCATTTAAGACTCCTCCATGCCTTTTTGTGGCTTGGTAACGCAGTTATTTTTAGTGTTGAATAACAATCGATTGTCAGTATGCACCACCTCCATACTGACTGGAGGACATTCTTTGTTGCTTCCAAGTTTTGACAACTGTGATGATACAGCTTCTATAAACATCTGTGTGCAGGTTTTTTGTAGACGTAAGTTTTCACCTCATTTGGACAAATACCTAGAAAAATGATTACTAGATCATATGGTAGGAGTATGCTTTGTGAGAAACTGCTAAACTGTCTCCAAAGTGACTGTACCATTTTACATTCCCAACAGCAGTGAAAAAGTTTTATTTTCCACATTCCTGCCAGTATTTGGTGTTGTGTTTGGGATTTTGGTCATTCTCATAAATGCATAGTGGTACCTTGTTATTTTAATTTGCAATCCCATAATGACAAAGGATATTGACATCTTTTTAATGTTTTTATTTATTTGGTTGGTTTTTTGGTTTTTGCTTATTTTTTGAGACAGGATCTTATATGTAGCCCACACTGGCCTTGGACTCAGACGCACAATCCTCCTGCCTCAGCCTCCAATTGCAGGCGTGTGCAATCACACTTAATTTGGCCATCTTCTCATATGTTCACTTGCCGTTTGTTTATCTTCTTCAGTGAGATCACCAAAGAACTCCTGTTTTTTGTATTAAAAATTGGGTCATTCATTTTCTTTAGTTTTAAAGTTCTATTTTTGGACCATAGTCCTTGATCAGGTATAACTTTTGCAGATGTTTTTCAGCAGTCTATGATTTGTCCTCTCTTGCATATTCCTTTTCTTTCTTGGGAATACTGGGGTTTGAACCCAGGGCCTTGTGTGTGCTAGATAGGCATTCTACCATTTAAGTTACATCCCCCAACCCCTTTTTTTAACTTCATTTTTCAAATAGAGTCTCACCTTTATGCCCAGGTTGGTCTGGACCACAATACTCCTATTTATATTTCCTGCAGAGCTGGGATGAGTGCCATCCCAGCTTTTTATTAATTGAGATAGGGGTCTCATGAACTCTTTGTCTGGGCTGGCCTCAAAATGTAATCTGCACCTCCTGAGTAGCTAGGATTACAGGTGTGAGACACTACACTAGGCTTCCTTTTTTAAAAAACTTAAAAAATCTTTTCAGCTTTAAAGACATCTTTAAATTTTTGATGTCTGCAGATTATAAAGAATTATCCATGTAGAAGTTCATGTTTAGCCAGCACCTGTGGCTCACTGCTGTAATTCTAGCTACTCAGGAGGCAGAGATTAGGAGGATTGTGGTTCAAAGCCAGCCTGGGCAAATAGTTTGTGAGACCCTATCTCAAAAAAAAAACCATCACAAAAAAGGGCTGGTAGAGTGGCTCAAAGTGTAGGCCCTGAGTTCAAACCTCAGAACCACACACACAAGGTCATGTTTGCATGACCTTGTTACACAAAGCATTGATTGATTTCATGTATCAGTTTTTCCTCATTAGAATTTAAGTTTCCTTTTCAGTGACATGAAGTGAAACTTGGAAATATACCTTGCTAGTGTAAAGATGAGGCAATGGGAAATGCCTTCCAGTGGCTTTTATGAAGCCAGACACTTGATAATTTAAAGTATTTCAAATTCCTTTATAGAGCCCTACTGTACTCATCAAAAATACAGATAGGGTTAGTAATTTACCTAATAATAATTTTATTTTTCTAAGACTCAGTTTTAAAAACTGGGAGGATTTTTTGTTTTGTTTTGTATTTTGGTGGTATTGGGGTTTGAATTTGGACTCTGGTTTGCTACGCAGGTGCTCTGCCACTTGAACAATGCCCCCAGCCCTGAAACTGAGAATTTTAATGACAGTAGTTCAAGTTTTCTTTTATAGTCTACTTTTAAAAGAAAAAATCTCATGTTAAAATGTAGTCAACATATTTTATGGTTTTATTTGTTTATTTGCATAAAGGATGGAAAGAATAGAATGATTCAATCTTTAGTCAAAAGAGTACATCTTATAATAAAACTGAATCTCATCTTACTCCTCTCCATGGTTAAAATAAAGTTCTTTTTTCTCTTCCTAATTGGTTTACAGATAGTATTTCCAGACTTTTGTTGTTATGCTAATTTTGGCTCCATTCATTGGAAGGGATCAGATTTCTGGCAAATGAGCTCACTGCCTTTCCTAACCACTGTTTTTCTGTTCCAAGGAGTAGTAAAGGAAGCCTGAAGCCAGGGAGAGACAGCCTAGAGCATGAAATGGAAAAAGCAGCAGATCAGAAATAATAAATCTATTAAATTAATTGAGCTTTTGGGTTTGGCCCTGGAAGCTTTAGCTTTTTAATGAAAAATAACACATGTATTCAGAGAAGATAAAATTTCGTTGACAAAATTGAAGTTTTTCCTTAAAAAAAAAAAAGTACATCAGATGGCAATTTATATTTTTCTTAGATACTTTCCAAAGTCATCACAGCTTAGAAATTAATCCTTTATAAACAAAAGTTGACTCTTTTTTTTTTTTCAAGTGGAGATTATATTATGGCCTATTGCTGGAAATTACAAGTAAGTACTGATAGACTACTGTATGCTACTTTAGAAAAAAATAGACAAATAGTTTACTTTTAGTGGGTTTTTTTTTAATAATTTTTACTACTATTTATAATTTAAGTTTTCTACAGTAGAACTTACTAGAAATTATTTGGAAGATTATATTTGGCATTTAAACAATCTAATCAGTGAATTAACAGAAGTAAGTTTGAATTTACTGGCATGACTATGTTGTACAATTTTCCAATGCAGAGTAAAACTTATAATATAAAGCAGTCCCCTCTGCTTATATTAGTATATTCTGAGAAGATACCTATAGTTGCAAATAAGTAGGTAATTTTTTTCTGTATATATTTTTGTGATGGAGATGATACATTTTCAGTATAACAGAATAAAACGTTAATGTGCAAAAGCTTGCCCATACTTTGTAGGTAGTGTAAGTTCATTATACTCATGTTTCCCAGAGCTTGAAATTCATCTGCTTTATATTTGCCCTGTCAAACTTACCAATTTACTTCATCACAGATTCTTTTCTTTTCCTCTAGAATATGGAATTTAATCTTATTGTAAGATATTTGCAAGTCTACTTGTATAAAAATGTTCCCTTCTTCACAATTTGTCTGCTCTCACTTTGTGAACAGGGCTATTTTTAAAATGTGCTGTGTGTAAGTGTGTTGTGTTATATTAGAGAAATTCAATTCTGGAAACATCCTTGAGGATTAAAGAAAGGCTTCTCAACTGTTCTCATCATCTAACATTAGTTTATCTGAAATACTTCTGTTCACAGGAAGAACAGGCAGCAAAATTGAAAGCTGAGAAGATCAGAGTTGCCTTAGAGAAAATTAAAGAGGCGCAAGTGAAAAAGGTGATTAGTTTAGGATTTTTATTAGTTTTATGGATTTATAAAGAATTATCTTGTTTATATAATGTTCCTCTAATTTAGACAGGTGGAGGGGTATTCTTTACTGATAATATATTTTCACTATTTTTTGTGTGGTTATCATGCATTATGAAAGGAATACCTTTGGTTCTAATTCTCCTGAAAGAGTATAAAACAGAATAGGTGTAGCATAATAATCTTACCTATTATTATATATTTTAAAAGATTTTAAATTTATTTGGCTAGATTAATTGGTATTGTAACCTTTCTCTTTTAAAATCATTATTTGTGTTTTAATGTGTATTTAAAGACATTAACCAAAATATTATTCAGTTTTGGAAAAAATCCTTTTATAAAGAATGTCATTTTTGGTTTTCATTTAATTTCATTTTCACTTGTTACAGCTGGTGATTAGGGTCCACATGTCTGATGATAGTTCTAAAACAATGATGGTGGATGAGAGGCAAACTGTGAGACAAGTGCTGGATAACCTGATGGACAAATCCCACTGTGGTTACAGTTTAGACTGGTCACTTGTAGAAACCATTTCTGAGTTACAAATGGGTAAGTAATATCATTGCTTTAATTCCTAGTTAACTTCTATGTAATCTAAAGGGTTTTCATGTTGATTGAAGCATTTTGAGACATCTATATTTTTTTCTTTAAAATTACCAGGTCTTTGCCTTTTTATAATTTGACTTTTTTACATTATTTTTTTTCCTCGAGTATTTGGAAAGTTTTTTCAGGAAAAGGTCATTTCCATTTCACTTCAGATTTTAAAATTGTTAAAGCTAAGGGTTTTTTTTAAAGGTAACAAAATACTTTTTCCTAAAGACTTGTATTTATTTGCATTGTTACTGGTCTTTTAAAACCAGCATTTAACTTCCAGGAGAAACATAAAACACATCAACAAATTTCAAAGAATAAATATCTTGAACACGGTTCTTCAATGTATGTTCAATATATAAGGACATGATCTTTGATATCTAATTTGGAAACTAAAAACTACAGCTATGTTTAAAATTAAATAATGTTTCTGGATCAGAGAAGAAATCATCTTGCCAGTTTTTTTAATGTTAAGAACTAAATGCAATTGGAAATACTTATCAAAATTAGTAAAATGCAACTAATGTTGTATTTTTAAGGATGGGATGGAAAAAAACTAAAGGCTGAAGAGAGTTGTACTACAAGTCAGAAGACCTAGATTCTAATCCTAATTGTTCTCTATATCAGTTGTGTGACCTTTGTTAAGTCACTTCACATCACTAGGGCAGCATGTTTCCATGTTTGAAAAATGAGGGAAGACCAGATAATTTGTAAGGGCCGATTAAGATACTCTAGTCCTGATGTGAATTACCTCTCAAGATTTCATGCAATTCTGATAAATACTAATGAAATAGTGATATTCTATTCTGGGACAGAGAGAATCTTTGAAGACCATGAAAACTTGGTTGAAAATCTTCTCAATTGGACAAGAGATAGCCAGAACAAGCTTATATTTATGGAACGTATAGAAAAATACGCACTTTTCAAAAACCCACAGGTAAGACTGAATAACTTATGGGTTCTTTTAAATGTATGTTGTTATTCTATTACTGCTAAGTTAATAGAGTTAAAAGACTGACAACCATCTGACTAGAGCATTGCAGCTGCAAAACCCCATGGAAGCATTAATTACTACTACTGAGGTGGAAAGTAAGCTGAGACCCAGGTGTCAGGCATCAGAGAGGTTCCCAGTCCCACAGACCCAGGTGGGGTGAATCCTTGTGGTAGCAGAAGTAGCCCCAGGGAGTTACTAGGTTTCTGCACTCTGTAAATGCAGAGCTGTGTTGAACCCAGCAATTTGGTGGGTTTCTCATCTCACCAGGAAAAAAAAAATCTTATCTTTAGCCATTTGGAGTTAATACTTTGTTTATTTGTTTGTTTGTTTTGGCAGTACTGAGCTTTTAATTCGGGGCTTTTCACTTGGTAGGCAGGTACTGTACTGCTTGAGCCACACAGCCCTTTTTGCTGTAATTATTTTGGAGATTGTGTCTCGCTTTTTGCCCATGCTGACCTGAACCATGATCATCCTATTTTACATGTTCTGCCATAGCTGGGATGATAGGTGTGCACCACCACACGCAGCTTTTTTCTGTTGACATGGAGTATTGTAAACTTTTTTGCCCAGCCTGACCTGGAATCACAGTTCTCCAATTTCAGCCTCCCACACAGCTGTGATAACAGGCATGGATTACAGGTGTGAGCTACCAGTGCCCAGTTTGGATTTTTTTTTTAAATCCGAATAACCATGATTATAAATGTGTTCACATTCTAATATATGCTATTTGATTTATTTAGCAGCTTTTCTTATTTCACAATAATGTTTGAGTTAGTTTTCCCAATACCTAGACATTTTATAAATATCAGTGAGGAAAAATAGAACTTCACAATAAAAAGTAGTAATGAGAAAAATAGCAGTAGTGTTAAAAATATTGAATAGCTTATCCTTCAGACTTAATCGTAACACATCTTTCAGTGAAGAATACATACTTGGGAGTGTCAGCAGATCTTTTTGTAGGAAACGAAAAATAATTATACTAATAATGATTACAATTCAGGTTTTAGTCAAACCAAGCAAATGAGATTATAGTTTCACAGAATTGGGATTTTTTCTTAAAAAAACAAAGCATAAATTTTCTTCAAATGGATCAGCATGCCAGATCCAGCATCTAAATATAGGACAGGAAGGACATTTCCCTTACTTGTTGTATGTAATAGTTGTAAACTTTTCAGGGACTTTCAATGTAGCTTTTACTAGCTAATCCCAGCTGCATGTAATGTCACCTGAGGATCTGGAGAAGGGAAGTGTATGGAGTGATTCATAACAAGTGTTTAGACAAGGAAAGAGCTGGTATTGAGGATTTAATGATGGTGCCCAGGGAGCTTTTCAAAGGAGTTGTCCCCTTATTCTGCACTGGCAAAAATTGACCTAGAGTTGCTATTTCTCTAAAAGAAATCATATATGCACTGTGCCAGGGAAACAGTAGAATAGATTTATCCTTTAATTTTTATTTCATTGTTTTTCCAGAATTATCTTCTAGGGAAAAAGGAAACAGCTGAGATGGCAGATAGAAATAAAGAGGTGCTGTTGGAGGTATGGATCCCCTCTCTTTTTTGTCTGCATGTTTTAAAATTAAAACATTAAGCACCTTCTGAAGTCCGCTGTGTCAGATCTCCATATTTACAGTCATACGTGTAGCTGGAAAAGCCTATGTTCTTTGATAGCATGAGCGAGAGAATTCAACTATGGGAACTTGTGTACCCACTGGGGGGCCTTTTAAAAATGACTCTTTTTGACAAGATATATTCTAGTGAACTAAAAGGTATAGCAAGTTTTTAGGGGTTGCCAAGTGGGAGGAAGGGCTGGTTGTGCCATTTTTATCTGCTTTTTTAAAGGAGAAATTTGAGTATATTGACTTCACAAAGTATTTCAAGCCTTAGTAATAACTCAAGTAGCTTTTTAAAATTATAATCATTTTTGGAAAATCTCCTTATTTTTCAGACTGATAAATTTAAACATAACAGTTTCAGATTTTTGGCTTTTGCTGATTTTAAAGAATTAAAATCACAGAAGTTAGATATTAAAAGCTTGCACAAACTCTTACCAACAAGGCAATTAGGACAATAAAGATCAGCCCTGAGCTTTTCATAGTGATGGTAACTACAATTAAGAAAATCCTTATAATTTGTGATTTTTCTGTATTTTGAAGAAAAAGAAGTTAATTTAGGCTTAAAATGCCCTGTGTTAGTGTACAGTATTTTTCTTCTTTAAAAAATACATGATGATTTTTAATAGATTATATTTTTATCTAAACATAGAATTTAGAATTTTGAGTTTGTTTATATTTGTCCATCTCTGGTATTAAATATTTTAAACAGAGGGGCTGGGAATATTACTCAGTGGTAGAATAATTGCCTAGTATGAATGAAGCCATTGGTTCCATTCCTAGCACCAGAAAAACTTTTTTTTTTTAAAGAAAAAAGCAAATGTCCTATAATTGATACACTTTTTAAACTGTTATTAATCATTCACTTTTTTTGCTCTTTCTTTTTAACTCTATTCATGTTTATTTTAGCTTGACAGCTAATCTAATGTGTTGATTTGGACAGAGATCAAGTTTAATAGTTATGCTAGACCTGACATTTTTATTAAATTTAGTGTAATGATCCTGTTTAGAAGTTCAGTTAAATACTGTTATATGCAACTCAATTGATGTTTCAAGTTAGTTTTTCTTCAGAACAATGTTAAGTAAAAGTTCATAGGCAAACCTTATTATTGTATTTATGACTGGCATTTTTTACCTATTAAACATTTTAGGATTGCCATAGTAGTTCCAAAATAAATTCATAGTATGTTTAAAACAGAAAGTTATTGATTCAGGTAAAATTAGCATGGTTTTAGTACAAAACCGTTTTGGCTTAATTACAGTGTCATGCATCTCAAGTAGACACAACTTTTTCTGAAAATCTATGAATCATAAATCTTTCCAAATCATCTTGTTTTTTAGGAATGTTTTTGTGGAAGTTCTGTAACTGTACCAGAAATTGAAGGAGTCCTTTGGTTGAAAGATGATGGCAAGAAGTCTTGGAAAAAGCGTTACTTTCTTTTGAGAGCATCTGGTATCTACTATGTTCCCAAAGGAAAAGCCAAGGTGTGTGTCCCTTCTGTAGGCTTTTGAGCTTCCCTCACTATGCTGTTTATTTTTTAATTTGTAGCGAATATGCTATTGCTTCAGCTCACGTGGGGCACACAGAAGAAGGTTTTGCAAAAGCCAGCCTTGTGGGCCTGTGGGATCACCTGGGGTTGACCCCACACTGGAGGGCATGTGTTGGGGGCTCTGGATGACTGGGGTGGGGCAGTGACTGACCTGCTGCTCTCTTTCCGGGGCGGCTGGGAGCCAAAGCTGAAGATGCGTGAATACAGTTGTTTCGGCTTCTGTCAAAAAAAAAAAAATGGTTTTGTTTACTAACCTATTGAAAGAAGAGGAAACTCAACATTTTCACTTCTGTTCACTAGTTGAGCTGATCTCAATTCTCTTATCAAATTTAAATCATGGTTTTATGTGTTATTTTGGGGACACTTGCCAAAGTATTTTATTGGTTTTTGTTTGGGGACAATTACTTCCTTAAGATTATGACCATTTCAATCTTGAGTAATAATGCTTTTTGCTGTGCTTATTTAGGTCCAGGTCTAGTTCAAGCATTTTAAAGTATCCTCTATTCTTAGAACACTCCAGTGAGCATAAATTGTTGCCCCTCTTTAACTGATGAGGAAACTCTCAGTTGAGAATCACCATTTTTGAGATATGAATGATAAGCACGGAACTACTTGGTATTTGTAGAGCGCTCTACTTTATTATATTTAAAACACCATACTATATTTAAAGTAATCTTTAAAATGCCAAAGTTTCCAAACAAGTCAGTGTTCATTATGAATGGTAAGGCAATAAGCAAAATGGACTGACTGCCTTTTTAGTTACATTGTCATGTCTTCTGAAAAATAGCAGTAATACCTACTTAGTAAAGTTTTGAAAACAATTGCCAGGTATGATTATTTGCTTGTTTGCATATAATTATTAATTCAGTTTTTGGGGTGTTTTTATCTTAGGTCTCTCGGGATCTGGTGTGCTTTCTCCAGCTGGATCATGTCAATGTTTATTATGGCCAGGACTATCGGAACAAATACAAAGCACCTACAGACTACTGTCTGGTGCTAAAGGTAAGCACACATCTCTGTTTATTGGATACCTTTAAATAATTTTGATCTCCATTAAGTATACTATTTTTGCTTTATTCTACATAGGTTTGAAAAAGAAATAGTAGGTCTGTGGGTGTACTTCAGTGGGTAAACAAACACTTGCTTAACATTAAAAAGTCCCTGGGTTGGATCCCCAGCACCAGGTGGGTAAAAAAAAACAGGTAAAGGATGGTAAGGCAAAAAAACATGATATTCCACAACTGCCCTTGAGCCATTTGGCTCTAATTAGGTTAGTGCAAATGAGGAGTAGATGCTTATTGTAAACTTGGGCCATAATATATAAATGCCTAATTATAAATTTGAAACTGGTTTAATAGTTGACTTATTTTAGAAAATTTAGAGCTGAATATGAGAAACATATTTTGTTTTGGTTATTTTCTTGTGCTTACTCAGAAGAACCATCAGAGGGCACTGTGCCCAAGTTCAAAATCAGTTGGCAAGCTGGTCCAGAAATTTTTGTCTTGTTTTCCCAAACTATACTCATAATAGCCTATGGTATCTGTTACTAGGGAAGTTTTCTTTTCCTTTAATCAGGCTTTTGATCTTTTCACACTACTTGTATCTGTACTCTTGAGAAAAACAGATATTTTTATTTTTTTTGTGAGTGTGTGAGACAGGGTCTCACTATGTAGTTCAAATTGGACTTGAACTCATTATGTAGGCCAAGCTGGCCCTTGAAACTTTTGACTCTCCTGGCTCAGCCTCTGAGTGCTGAAATACAAGCATGGGCCACCATGTGCAACCTTTTATTAATGTGTTTAGAGATCTAGAACATTAATAAAGGTAATATGCAAAGTTTAAGGGAAAATTAAGGAGATAATTAGGTTTTCCTCGTTGGCTCTGAGTAACTACGTAGGGTCTACATGTTTATATTATGTTTAGTTTTCTTTTCTCAGAATTGTCAGTTGAGTTTGAAGAATAGCATTTGATTAGGATTTGGAATGGAGTTTTCGTTGTTTTAATAAAATTAGATGTGTTATAATGGCAAATCTTTATTAAATAATACTTTCTTAGAGAATACCACTATGTTGCTCAAGTTAATTTCAGAAGGAATTAATTCTCCTGGGTTTTTTGAGACAGGGTGTTCATCGCAGGCTGGCCTTGAACTTGATTACCATCTCCTGAGCCCTGGGATTACAGGCATGCATCACTATGCTCAGCAAGAGCAAATAATTCTATTTTTTGACCCCCTCAAGAAATGATGTAGTTTTAAAGCTACAATTTTAAATAAACCTGTAATAATAACAGCAAGTTTTTAAAAAATTACAAAACAGGACACACATACACAACCTCTACTCTACCAATCTATAAGGCATTTTATTGCCTCTAAATGCTAATGAACTAACTCCTGAAATCTCTGCAACATCCAACCACAGGTACCCAAGAGTAAAACATTAAGGTTGAATGGCAGCACCCTACAGGGCAGATGTAATAACATGTATGGACATGAAAGAAGGCTGATAAGGAAATCTGACATAAAGAAGGGACTGAGAACTGTATATAGGAACCCTCAGACAGTATTAAGGATGGGGGTGGTGGGGTGGTGTCTACAGGATCAAAAAATTCTTAAAAAGTCAGTACAAAGTAACTTCAGACAGAAGTTTTCGAAATGACGTCCAAGATCCTCTGGGAGCCCTTAAGACCATGATGTCAAGACTACTTTTCTAATAATACTAAGATGTTATTTGCATTTTATATTCCTGTTCTCCCACAGATGTTTCACAGAGTTTTCTAAGAAGTTATAAAACTGTGATGGTATTTTTACTCTCTTGGCTAGTATATATGTGATATATTGGATTTGTGTGATCTTGTATCTTATTTTTTTTTCCTCAGTTGTGATTTCTAATAAGGTAAATATTGAATAGGTAGAAAAACTTCACTTCTCTTCTCTTACAGTACCATCTGAACCCAAGAATTAAACTGAGATAAGATAGATTGTCAAGCGAAAAGTTTGATCTAAGTTTTACATAGCATAGGAGCCCTCATAATGCAGTGAAGACCCAAAGAAGCAGTTAGAGTCTTTAGTTTATATGTAGGGCTAGACAAAGAATATAAGTTGTGAAAAAGCAGCTAAATTAGGTGAGGAGGCTTAAAAGATAAGAATTGTTTCAATAAGGTATGTATAGAATTCTCTTGGTTTCAACTTCTCATACTTAAGGATAAGGATGTTGTATCTTTCTGGTATACTGAGGGTGTCTTTCATATGGGAGTTTCATCTGTTTTTAAGGTCCAAGTGATATTTTTGTACCTGCTGTTTTCCAAGTGTCTAACTTAAATACTCAGTATGCCAGGAACATATATTTTATGCTTCATTCAATTTTGTAGCCATAACCTGCACAAATGACAATTATTCAGGGATCTGATATTCAGGAAGAATATGTTATTTTAGCAACCCATTGTGGTAAGAACCTAAATTCTTTCCATCTTTCCTTGTTCCACTCTCTTTCTACATGTCATTTCATTGCTAGGTTGGCTCACCTCACCAGTAGTGTCTGTTTTAACCAATATAAATTATGACCATTAGCTATTACAAGTTGAACATCACTAATTGGAAAAGCCAAGACACTAAATGCACTGAAATTCAGATTTTGGCTGGGCTAGGGATGTAACAGTGATTCTGTACATCTCCACCGCCCAAGTAGCTATGATTTTTAGGCCTGGCCAAGACATGTCTCTTTTTTTTTTTCCCCTCTATGAAGTCTCTACTAGATTTTACCTATGTAAATATTTTAATTCTTGAACATATGAGTTCTGACAAATGAAACTTTAAAAAAAGTGCTGCAGCAAGGGACAACATAATTGCAATTTTATTTTCCTGTTCAGGTGTAGATATTATTTCTATTTATTTTTATTCATTGATTTTTTTCTTTTTGTTAGCATTCATTATTTGTACTAAGGGATTTCACTGTGCTACTTATGTACATGCATTCACCTCAGTCAAATTTACACCCTCTGTATCCTCCTGCTCATCCTGCTCCCTTCTTAAAACAATTTCAGCAGGTTTCATAGCTCTGTTTTCGTGCATGGGTATACAGTACTTTGGCCATATTCACACACCATCCTTCTCCTTTTCTTTCACCCTCTTCCCTCTCGCTAGTACCCACACCAAAACAGGACCTGTTTTACATTCCTGTTACTCATTTTTAAAGACTTGTTCCATGACTCACATCTTAATTCTAGCTGTTTGGGAGGTTGAGATGGGGATGATCATAATTGCAGGTCAACCTGGGCAGGAAAAGTTCATGATACCCCATCTCCTCAATGGAAAAGAGCTGGGCATGGTAGCATACTTCTGTCACCCCAGTTAAGGTGGGAAGCATAAACATGAGAATTGCTGTCCGGGCCAGCCTGGGCAAAAAATGACACTTTCCTCCAAAATAACCAGAGTAAGGGCTGCGTGTGTAGCTCAAGCAGTAGGAGGCCTACCTAACAAAACTCCAGTACTCCTCTACTCCCAAAAAAGCCCCTAAATTCTGCATATGAGAGAACATGTATTTTGTCTTTTGAGATCATCATTTTAAATAAAATAAACCAGCCAGAGAAAGACAAATACAAACATATTTATAGGGCTTGATCCTTTTGTCAGCTTCAGGTTGTATTGACTTGAGTCTGAGTCCTTCAGGTGAACTGCAGGGTGTGAGAAAGTTATTAGACACATTTTGGTAATTAGTTTTTTAAAAAGGGAATAATAAAAGTAATGATAAGAAAAGCTTATTCATGAAATGTGATAGTAGGGGAACAAACAGGACATGTGTTCATATATCTGAGATACACATTTGCTGGGACGTATGTCCACATGAAAAAATTTCTAAAATGAAACTTATGTTTTTAAAAATTACATAGTACAATTATTGTTAGAGTGGAGCTTATGTTAGCCAGATCTAAAATTTCATTCCTAAAGAAATGAGGCAGGAGTTTTTGCTCCCATTTCCTGCATGGGAAACAAGAAATGTTTCTCTTTCTCTTCCCAGCCCTACTTCTCTCTACTTTATCCTATTAATACTAAAATAAATCCTTGCTAAAACTTCAAAAAAGAAATGAGGCAAAGTAATTTATTTCAGTGTGATAGGAAGGGAAAAGTAGTTCACATTTAGGGGGGGAATGTAAACTTGAACTTCTCAAGCACTGTTACTAATAGAAATATGCAATATAGAATAATCATGGAAGTAGTAGGGTAAAGTGTTATATCAGATTATTTTAAAACCCCCGGGCATGTCAGTTTCAAGCCTATATTTGTGTATGTTCCAAACTAATAGGTATTATACATTGTCATTTTCCTTTGGATTTTAGTGTTAAGCATCACTTTTAATTAGAGTGACAGGAATTATCATCTGAATCTTTTTGTGGTACTGGGTGAACTTAATTTTTGACATAAACAGAAATACAATCTGATAGCATAGTAGTAACCCAGAAATTCTTATTTTAGTGTTAAGTGTTTTATTTAATTCTCAAAATTTTTACCTTTTATCAGAGAATGGAAACTTTACAAATCCAGCATCATTTAAAATACAGTGGTGACCTTTCTTTCTTATAGTTATTTATCTATTTTGGAATCAATTTCCTTGGAATCTTTAAGAATCTAAATGTTAGCTGTAAATGCCTTATTATGTGGGAAGATGAAAAAGAAATTTTGAGGTTCTAAAATGAATTTCAAACTAGCAAGTAATCTGATGCTTGACTTACAGATATTCAATAATTTCATAATAGTACTCTTCTGGATATTATCCATTCCAAAGTTAGAAAGGTGAGGTGAGAATGGGAGAGGACAGTCTGTCTTCAGTTAGCCCTGATGTTCTATTGATGAAAATAAAAACAATGTTTTGTATAGAGAATGAATAGAAGCAGGATGCACATGCAAGCAGAGCAACTGCTACAGTTGAACAAACACCCATGCAGCACAGGTAGTCAAGAGTAGTTGTAAAGCCAGGCATGATGGTACATACCTGTAATCCCAGTAGTCAGAGGCTAGAGGATTGCAAGTTCAAGAACAGCCTGAGCTACATAGTGAGACCTTGTCTCAAAAATAAAATAAGAATGGTCATAAATCACCATAGAGAGAAGGGGGTATGATAAAGGCAGAGAGCCATCTGTAGCAGCTGGTCAGATCTCTGAACCTCACCTGGTTGGCAGCACTAAGAAAGATCCATTTCAGTCAGCCTGCTTTACCTCCTGCACATACTGGGGCTTCTTAAGGTCACGGACCTTTTCTGTTACACAAGCATCTAGCAAATAGTTCTTCCTTGATAAATATTTGACAGATGAATAAGTGAGGTAAAGGTTTTCCTTTTGTAGAAAAATCCATGCTCATTAACCTCTCTTCCCGTGCTCTTTCAAGATTGCTATGGCAATTTATTAGAATGTGATTTAGTATGAACATATTCTAAGAGAGGACCTGTATTGTCAGGAGAGAAAACTATTGGGTATTGTTTTGCTAACATTTTATTGTTGAAGGTTTGTTATTTAAAACTTTGACTATAGGCTTCAACAAGAAAATTGGTTTGGGGGGTTGAGGCGTGGCTTAAGAGATAAAGTGCTTGCCTAGCCAAGTACAACTGAATTCAATCCACTGTACTGCTAAAATGAAACAAAAATAAATAAATAAAAATAAAAGAAAGTTGGTTTTGATATTACATTTTATGTTATAATAAGGAGCTGAGCTCTGTAAAATACTGAATAGAGTAGAATAAATGGATTTATATTGTTTCTCTCACTGTAGAGCAGAGTGATTGATTTTTAACAATGCAGACACATAACTTTTATTGGTGGCTGACTATTCCTGCTACATAGGAGAACCTATTCAGATTGCTTATTTTACTGTTCTTATGGGTTTTCACAACCAATAAATGTGATTGGGAGTTTTACAAAAACTAAATTCTTTTTATTTATTTTATTTTATTTTATTCATATGTGTATGCAATGTTTGGGTCAATTCTCCCCGCTTCCCCCCGTCCCTTCTCTTACCCCCCCAGCCCCTCACTACCAGGCAAAACTGTTTTGCCCTTATCTCTAATTTTGTTGAAGAGAGAGTATAAGCAGTAATAGAAAGGACCAAGGGTTTTTGCTAGTTGAGATAAGGATACCTATACAGGGAGTTGACTTGCATTGCTTTTCTGTACATGTGTGTTACCTTCTAAGTTAATTCTTCTTGAATTAACCTTTTCTCTAGTTCTGGTCCCCTTCTCCTATTGGCCTCAGTCACTTTAAAGTATCTGCATTAGTTTCTTTGCGTTGAGGGCAACAAATGCTATCTAGTTTTTTGGGTGTCTTACCTATCCTCATACCTCCCTTATGTGCTCTCGCTTTATCATGTGATCAAAGTCCAATCCCCTTGTTGTCTTTGCCCTTGATCTAATGTCCGCATATGAGGGAGAACATACGATTTTTGGTCTTTTGGGCCAGGCTAACCTCACTCAGAATAATGTTATTCAGTTCCATCTATTTACCTGTGAATGATAATATTTCATTCTTCTTCGTGGCTGCAAAAAATTTCATTGTGTATAAATACCACATTTTCTTAATCCATTTGTCAGTGGTGGGGCATCTTGGCTGTTTCTATAACTTGGCTATTGTGAATAGTGCTGCAATAAACATGGGTGTGCAGGTGCCTCTGGAGTAACCTGTGTCACAGTCTTTTGGGTATATCCCCAAGAGTGGTATTCGTGAATCATATGGTAGATCTATGTTTAGATTTTTAAGAAGCCTCCAAATTTTTTTCCAGAGTGGTTTTACTAGTTTACATTCCCACCAGCAGTGAGGGTTTCCTTCCCCCCACACCCCACCCCATCCTCGCCAACACCTGTTGTTAGTGGTGTTGCTAATGATGGCTATTCTAACAGGGGTGAGGTGGAATCTTAGTGTGGGTTTAATTTGCATTTCCTTTATTGCTAGAGATGGTGACCATTTTTTCATGTGTTTTTGGCCATTTGAATTTCTTCTTTTGAGAAAGTTCTGTTTAGTTCACGTGCCCATTTCTTTATTGGTTCATTAATTTTGGGAGAATTTAGTTTTTTGAGTTCCCTATATATTCTGGTTATCAGTCCTTTGTCTGAAATGTAGCTGGAAATATCTTCTCCCACTCTGCGGGTGGTCTCTTCAGTTTAGAGACCATTTCTTTTGTTGAGCAGAAGCTTTTTAGTTTTATGAAGTCCCATTTATCTGTGCTATCTCTTAGTTGCTGAGCTGCTAGGGTTCCATTGAGAAGGTTCTTGCCTATACCTATTAGTTCCAAAGTATTTTCTACTCTTTCCTGTACCAGTTTTAGAGTTTGGGGTCTGATGTTAAGATTCTTGATCCATTTTGAGTTAATATTGGTATAGGGTGATAAACATGGATCTAGTTTCAGTAGAAAAACTAAATTATTTTAAAGCATCTTTTTTTCTTAAAATTAAACATACATTTAAACATTTTTCCAGGCAAAATATAGCCTTTTTTAGTTTTCAGAAAATGACTAGAAGGAACAATAGTAATCATAACCATTACATTGAAACTCAATGTGATTTAAAGGTTTTTCTTCCCAAGAAACTAGTGATTGAGGTCCATTGGAATTAAAATAGCTTCAATCTGTTCTTAACACTGCTTTTGTAGTCAAGGTCACATCATTCACTCCCCATTCCAGCTTCAGCTAACAAATAAGAGTGGGTTGTGAGAACTACTGATGATGCTGTTGAGAAGCTGCTTGTCCCAGTGGAAGGTGCACTCTTTGTTGCTGCTCCTGTTTCTACCTCAGCATCAGGTGTGGCCGTAGACTCTTGTCCCAGGTGCTCTGCTGTGTGTTTTATGTACCTGACCTCATTATTCACCTCCAGGGGAGCACTAGAAGCTTTTCTCACAATCTCATTTGGAGTCTCCTGAAGCCATGGTTTTAGTGGGTGCATCTCTATTTTTTCTTTTTTTCTTTTTTGGTGGTGGTGGGGTTTGAACTTAGGGCCTCACACTTGCTAGGCAGGTGCTCTACTACTTCAGCCACTCCGCCAGCCCTCAGTGGGTTCAAAGTGAAATCATACATTCCCTTCCCTTTTCTTAGTCTTACAGATTGAGAATTCTAACTAGATGGTTAACCTTGACCTTTGTTTCTTTTGAAATGTCTAAGAGATATTTGGGCATTTCCCATGGTGTGAAGGTTACTGTAACTTGGACATCTTGACTTAAAATTTAACACAAACTCTATTTTGTAAAAATATGTACAGGCTATTTTGTTTTTCCTCATGGCCATATGAAAAGTATTTATTATTTGGTCATTACTTTAATGGCCTATACCTTCTCAGGACACATTTAAGCTTTGATAGAGTTTGGTTTTCTTCAGTTCTCCAAGAGACTTAGTTGGATTTTGCCTTTAATCTTTCAGCATCCACAGATCCAGAAGAAATCTCAGTATATCAAATATCTTTGTTGTGATGATGTGAGGACTCTACATCAGTGGGTCAATGGGATCCGCATCGCAAAGGTAGGTTTTGTTTTGTTTGCTGATGGAATCATAAAGTCTTTAATTGTATAGTTTTGATTGTCATAACATGTGATTGTTTCATGTTCATGATTTTGCCAGTGTCTAGTTTTATTAGACTTAAGTTTCATGGGGTTTTTTTGTTTTGTTTTTTAACTGGGATTTGAACTCAAAGCCTCAATCCCTGCTTGCTAGGCAGGCACTCTACCACTTGAGCCAAGTCCCCTTTCACTTTAGTTATTTTTCAGGTAGGGTCACTCCTTTTTTGCCAGGCCCAGTCTGGACTGCAGTCCTTCTAGTTAAGCCTCCTGCAGAAAGCCCTGTGCTACTACATCCAGCTTTTTTGTTGAGCTGAGGTCTGGCCTTTGCACTGTGATACTCCCTATCTCCACCTCCCAAGTAACTGGAATTACTATGTTTTATGTGTTAAATGTCTGTTTTCCTTGGTGACAAGGATAAATTTTTCACTGAATAATACTGCAGGCAAAAGCTTGTAGTTGATTTTGGCTTTGGAGAATATATTATATTATTCTATTAGCATAGTTCAGCCAAGCAAAATAATTGTTTTTCCCCCCATGCTGAGGGTTGAACTCAGGGTATCAGGCACATACTATGCAAGTGATCTATCACCCACAGCCTGCCTGCAAAGTAAAGATTTTTAAAGTTAACTAATGAACATTTATTAACCAGATTGGGAACAGTGATCATGAATAGTGCTGAGAATCTGGGCCTGGATCAAGAATTTGGGGGAAAAATTTATTTATAATGAGCATAATCAAACTCATCTCTTGACTTCTCACTGCTCTTTTACAAATGAAGAAAAGTAAGAATAGGTTATAACTTACTGGTATTAAGACTTTTTAGAGTACTACAGGTATTAATACAAACTATTAGTATACAGAAATGTGTCCCCTTTTCCTACCTCGTCCTATATCATACCTAGTAAGCTCAGATGTCATAATATACTGCCTTCTGTTTAGTATGGGAAGCAGCTCTACATGAATTATCAAGAAGCCTGGAAGAGAACAGAGTCAGCTTATGATTGGACTTCTTTATCCAGCTCCAGCATCAAATCAGGATCCAGTTCTTCCAGCATCCCAGGTAGTTCAGAATGCCTCAAAATACTATATTACTGCCAATATGAGGTCTTTATTTGAGACTCTTAGTAGACCTGGTAATTTTATCTCAATTCTTAAAAACTAGAGCCATAGCTAATTTCAAAATTCTAATCAATTTGTCATTGGTTGGAGGGAGCAATATCATAGATCAGTTCACAAATGCATTTGAAATGGAAAATTACTATGTAGACTTCTAAATCTAGGAGTTTTGTTGTTTATATTACTGAAGTTTATCCAGAACTCACATATACTGCTAAAATACATGGGATGAAAATTGATTGGAGAAGTCTCTGTACTCAGAATTAATGAGAAAGCTGCCCTCCTTCCATACAGGTTTCCCAACATTTCAGTGGAATGGAACTACCTGGAGCTAGTTCAGAATTACAGTTAAGGAAGCCATTTAAGTCATCAAACTTTGTAATTTTTATAAGAAATCAGTGATACTCAAAAGAGGCTTTGAGATTTCTATACCCTTTAAACAATATGTTGTGTTCGCATCTTAGATTAAATGCCTCTTTCCTTTCAAAATGTTCTCCAGATGATGTCCATGTCGCTCAAAGCAGAATTTTTTCATTGTTCATTGATTAAAAACCTATACAACTTGGTTTCGTCTCTATGTAGTCAAAAACAAATTTAGAATAGTAACATGTAATGTACTCAAAACGTGACGGGAGTATGTCAGAGGACACAGGAGCCAACTTGAAAGAATGCCAGTGGTCAAAAGAACAATTTGAGCAATAAAATATGTAATATAGAATTATAACCGAAATTATAAAATAAATATTCACGAATCCAAACAATAAATCACCGACTAAATAAAGAGAGGAGAAAAATGTTCCTTACAAAAGGTTTCTAAATGACTTATGGAGACACTTTGACCTCAGGAGGTAGACCATAACTCTCCACTGCTTAAGTGTGGGCTGTCCACAGTGACTTACTTCCAAACAAAGAGCAGTGAGCTAGGGAACAGTGACTTCACAATGGAGAAATCTGACACACAGTACTTCAAGTGATCAAGAGCAGTATCATTAGTCATATGTCATACTGATTGCAATAATTCATTGAGAATTACATTCATTGATGTAATTAAATTAGAATGATGTAATTAAATTAGAATGATTTAATTAAATTAGAATGATGGAATTTGGCTTCCTCTCCAAATCCCATGACCTCCATCTAATCAAGAGAACAAGATCAGACAAACCAAAATTGAGAGGTACTCTGACAAATACCTGGCCAGTAGTTCTTAAGACTGTCGAAGTCCTCAAAAACAGGAAAGTCTGAGAAACTATCAGAGGAGACACTAACTGCAGTGTCATATTCTGGACCAAAAAATGGACATAGGGGAAAACTAATCAAAGCTGAATAAAGTGTGGAGTTTAGTTAATAGTAATGTACCAGTGTCATTTCCTTAGTTTTGACAAATATACCATAGAATGTAACATGTTAATAATAGGGTAAAACTGTATGCCAGGTGTATAAGAATTCTGGGATGTGAGAACTGTAGAACTTCTGTCCTAGCATTGTAATATGAAAATATCTAACGTAAATATATAAAACTATTCTAAAATAAGACATTCATTCAATTGAAAAAATACTCCTAGAAGATGGATTACAAAGAGCAAGAATATGTAGCAAGTAGAATTTTAGAAAGGAAATTAGGGATAGAAGATTGAAAAATGATGGATAATATTTTTTAAAGTTTATATAATGCTTGATTCAAGTGTTTCTATATACTATTTTATGAAGTAATATAATGCCTTTTCCTATTCCAGCATCATTCATGTACTTTGTATAAAAGTATTAGGTAAGCTTTTAGTGTAAATCATATAGTGCTAGTGTAATCAGATTAATGCTGAAGAGAGCTCAAGGATTCATGTTTTCCATCCTCTTGTCTTATAGGCAGTTATCCCCAAATATTAAACAGAGATGATAAATGAGGCTAGTGAATTTTTATCATATTGCTTACATTTTTCACCTTAAAGATAGTCTCGACTTTATCCAAAGGAATTTGGGTTTAAGATTTCTTTGGGGCTGTTATTATCTTTGACTAACTTGGCTGGATTTGCTTAATACTACATTCTAATAATATTTGCCCATCACAAAGTGATCATAAGAAATCAGCTTTAACATTTGAGTCTCCACTAGATGCCAAGTGTCAAGTAAGGTGCATTCTTATGACCTAGAGTTCTCTGCTCAGATGAGTGAGAGGCACTGTATTCTCAAAGGCAATCCCTCTTTGCCCTTCTCCCCAGCCTAGAGCCAGCCTACAGCATGACTGCTCCTCTAAATCCCCAGGAAACACTTTCATTTTTTTTCCTCACATGGAGGACACATTAAAACTCTTGTTGATTGGTAGGAAAAGGAAGTGATCATCTTACATTGGCCTAAATTCCTAAGTTACAACTCTGTGAATGCCTGGAAAAGCCTGATTCTCAATATAGTAAAAATTCAGTTGAAAATTGTTTACTCCTTTATTGATGGTTCTTAATTCTTTTACTTGTTGGGAGTTGATTCATGCAAGACACACTGAAAGGATACCAATAATACATGACCATTAGTGTAATTATCAGTCTCTCATGGTGAACTATTAAATAAGAGCTGAGATTTCTAGGAACTCTAATAAGGAAAGTTTTCTAGTAGAAAATACTGGTTGCTTATAATGAAATGAAGTTGAGTAAAATGAACTTGTTGCTGTTCTACATTGCATTTGACCTTGTATTAAAGATTTAAATGTACATATTCATACTGTCAGAATGGTGATTGACAATCTGTTTAAAAACTATTTTAACAGAATCCCAGTCAAATCACTCAAGCCAGTCTGATAGTGGAGTTTCTGACACACAACCAGCAGGACATGTCCGTTCTCAGAGCACTGTCAGCTCCATCTTCTCTGAAGCCTGGAAACGAGGCACTCAGTTGGAAGAGTCCAGTAAGGTAACACTCTGGTTTAATTTACATAGGAAAATCTGTGGCATTCTTATCTGGTAGTATTTTAAGCTTCCTTCTTAGATCCTTTTTTTGGGAGAGGAGTGGGTAGTTGGGGTTGAACTCAGGGCTTCACACTTGCTAGGCAGGTGCTCTACCATTTGAACCTCTCTGTCAGACCTGTTTTGTTTTGGCTATTTTTGAGATAGGATTTCACAAACTGTTTGCCACATGGGCTGGCCTTGAATGTCCATCCTCCTCATCTCTGCCTCTCGAGTAGCTAACTAGCACCCAGCTTCTTAATTCCTTCTTCCTAATTGTAATGGGGTAAAACCATTGCAGAGAGACATGTTGATTTGACTTCCTGAGAAATGAATATTTACAAATTAGCTCTTAATGACATAAGATCTTTGAAAAAAAAAAAAACTAAGTTATTTATAAACTCATTTACCAGTGGCTCAAAACTTTAAGATAGGACTCTTTCCTCCTTTCAATCCTTAACCAGTCAGCTGAAACAATAACATGTAGTGCCAATACCCTATATATGTTCCAGAAAAGCTGCCTCTAGTTCTTCATTCATTATTTATTTAATTTATTCAGATCCACTTTTATGATTTTTGGCATTTTTCTGGGCATTGTTGAATTTTTTCAAATTATGTAGAACACTAAATTCAAATCATTCCCCATAAGGTTTTGGATTACTAAGCCTTACATAATAGATTATTCAGTGACACTGAACAATGGGTATAATTATTACAGACCGTAGTGGTGAAAAAAAAAAAGAGAGGTGTGTCCTGGCTATAGTCACTATTTCAAAGTATGAACAGTGTAGAACCAATGACACCCCTGACTGGGTTTTTGTTGCATAATAATTTAGATTTTTGTTGTTGTTCTTTCAATCTGAATCAGTCATACAAATGCATTCACAAATGAGAATTAAATGAACACTTATTCTTTTATTTATTAAAACAAAGTATTACTCAATTTACATATGTAATTAGTTGATTAAGGGGGTGAGGAGGCATTAGTTGCCCAGTGTTGGGTGATGCAGTTTCCTTCAGAAATTAGTATTTGAGAGTTGGTTCTAATGACCTAAAGTCTCAGAAAACTGACAGTCTTACTCCTTTATCAGAAACTCAGACTTTTAAGAAGCAGTTCTCTTTCCCTTTCCCCTGTCAGTCAATTTGGATGGAGCTAATACTCTCAAAATGTACGAGATAAACTGGTTTACATAATTCAAATGTCTGAAGAAAAATTCTTAACCAGATTAATAGTGATACCCGTGTACATTTTAAGTTACAGAACTAATTATTACATGTAAGTTCAAGGAAAACAAGGCTAAAGTAGCCTGTGATTTAAGAAGCAAAGTCTAAGCCAGGCATGGTGCTATAATCCCAGCACTGGAGAGGTAGAGGTGGAGACAAGCCTGGAGGCATACACAGCGAGACCCTGTCCCAAAAAAATAAAAAAGAAGTGAAGTCTGTCATTGCACAGAATTTCAGAAAAGAGCCCTGCCTGTTGTACAGCAGTGTCAGTTTGTTTAAGTCTTGATCCTTCTGTGTGTTTCTTCTGTTACCTCGGTCTCAGGTGCCACATGAGAAGGCCAGCACAGCTAAGGTCTGCACCCCTGAAGCAGCCAAGACAGGGTCATGTTAAGGTCAGGGGCTGTTCTCTGAAAACACATTAACCTGGGTGACTCCTATAACCAGATCTTACAAACTAATGCTTTTATTTTGATGTGTAATTTTTAAAGAAACATGTAAATGTCCCAATAGGCATCAGCATTCAGCCCTATAAATGAACCTTCTAGTTCACTAACCTAAGCATTCTCTGTGCCAATTTGATGTGATTTGTAATTGAAAACAAATGGTTCGTCTCATTTCCTCACAGTTTATTCAGAGATCCTGAAAGATTTATCCAAAGTTACTGTACCAATGGTCCTCCCTTCCCTCATTTCAAAAGTACTTGAGCCACAGTCATGCATTGTTAGCTACACGAAATAAGGGACTAGGTGTGGTCATTTCAGCAGTGCTAAGAGCTACCCAGATGGGAGTGGTCAGCAGGTTGTTGGCAAACACTAACTCCTCTCTCTTGATACGTCTCCTTTAGCCTTCCAAAGTTTCCTCTTATTTTCATCTGGCCTTTTCTGTGTGATGTTTTGATGATCTTCTTGCCGTAATGTTTACAAAGCATTTCTTTATGTATTTTCCAGTAAAGCACATGTAAAGAATGCCCCCATACCTGCATTGCTGGACTTCTGTGCATGTTGGATGCAGTGTCTCACATGAACACGAGTGTGTGTGTCGAGCTCATACATTTCCTGTGTGACTGTGCACGCCTGCTGAGCATTCTCATACTCTCCCGTGTCAGCTTGCTAGCATCACAAAGCCATCCTCACTCTTCAGGAGGCCCTGCGCCAGCATTCCTAAACCCAGTATGGCATCTGCTTGATGTGGATGCAGTCATGGACTGAAAGAAAAGCCATCACATCCCCTTGCCAGAGTCCAAGAGGGCCCTTGCAGAGGTTGTCCACAGAGGCTCCCACTTAGGACAGGTGTGTGAAAGTCATACAGCCAAGGTCAGAAATCACACATCCTGTCACCATCCAGAGGGTTTTGCAACAGGAAGTCTTTCATGGCAGTCTAGCTTTTGGCAAATTCTGCTGGGGAAACAAATTTCCTCTGTGCTCTTTACCCAGGCAGTCAGTGTTACCTTCCTGACCGTGTCCATCTTCATAATCACAACTGCTGCATACCCAGACTCCTTGCTTTTTAGTTTAGGCAAGCAAAGCTTACCTCTGTAACTCTTTTTGTTTTTTTCTCTCCCACTCCCCTTTTATACTGCTTTTAGGCCAGAATGGAACCTATGAATCGGCCCTACACATCACTTATGCCCCCCCCATCCCCACAAACTAAGATCGTCACCCCCTACACCGCTTCACAACCTTCACCCCCTCTGCCTCCTCCTCCACCCCCGCCCCCTCCTCCCCCTCCTCCCCCGCCCCCACCTCCTCCCCCTCTCCCCAGCCAGTCAGCACCTTCTGCAGGCTCCGCAGCCACCATGTTTGTGAAGTACAGCACAATTACCAGGCTGCAGAACGCAGCTCAGCATTCAGGACCCCTCTTTAAGTCTTCACCACCCACAATGATGCACCCTCTGCCCTTGGCCTCACAGTCAGTGAAGCCGCAGATCCTGGTGCCCCCCAATGGAGTTGTCCCCCCACCTCCTCCCCCTCCGCCACCCCCAATCCCTGGCTCAGCCATGGCCCAATTAAAGCCGGCTCCCTGTGCCCCGTCCCTTCCGCAGTTCAGCCCCCCTCCTCCTCCACTGAAGATTCATCAAGTGCAGCACGTCCCTCAGCCCGCTCCTCCCACGCCCCCAGCCGCCCCTCCCATCCCTGCAGCCCTGCCCCCTGAAGCCCCCCCCAAACCACCCGCCAGCGCCAAGACTGTGACACAAGCGGCACCACCTGCCCCTGCTCCTCCAGTGCCCTCCGCAAAAAAACAACCAGCCTTCCCGGTCTCTCCCATCCCACCCGCTCCGCCTGCCCCGGGGCCCCCGCCCACGCTCCCCAAGCAGCAGAGCTTGTGCGGGAAGCCCCCTCCGTCCCCGCTGTCCCCCGTGCCCTCAGTGGTGAAGCAGTTGGTCAGCCACTTCCCGCCCCCTCCCACCCCACCGCCTCTGGACTCGCAGTCCCCAAAGCCTGTTCCAGCAAACATTGCCCCTCAGTCCCCTCCAGCTGTGAAAGCAAAACCCAAGTGGCAGCCCAGTTCCATCCCGGCCCCGTCTCCTGATTTCCCTCCTCCCCCTCCGGAGAGCAGCCTGGTGTTTCCCCCGCCACCTCCGCCAGCCCCCGTCGCACCGCCAGTGCCCCCAGCAGCTTCTCCTACACCCGATAAAGGTGGATCTCCAGGCAAAAAGCCCAGTAAGATGTCCAGCCCCGGGGGAAAGAAACCGCCCCCTACCCCTCAGCGCAACTCCAGTATTAAGTCCAGCAGTTGTCCAGAGTCCCCCGCCCCCGAGCCCAAGAGGCCCTCGGTGGACAGTCTAGTGAGCAAGTTCACACCGCCGGCGGAATCAGGGTCTCCCAGCAAGGAGACCCCTCCACCTGCGGCGCCCCCAAAGCCTGGCAAACTGCACCTTTCCGGAGTCCACCTCCCCGGCCTTCTGCAGCAAGGGAGCGTGGCGGCTAAAGCCTCGGCCCTGAGCGGCCGTGGAAAGGACCCCGTGGTGGAATTCCCTTCTCCTCCCTCCGATTCTGACTTCCCACCCCCTCCACCGGAAATAGAGCTTCCGCTGCCGCCCATCGAGATTCCAGCAGTATTCTCTGCAACCACCTCTCCAAAAGTGGCAGTCGTTAACCCTCAACCACAGCCCTGGTCCAAAACGTCAGTGAAGAAGGCCCCCCCACCCACGCGACCCAAACGCAACGACAGCACCCGCCTCACTCATGCCGAGGTCCCCGAGCCGCCAGCCACTGCCGCAGTCGTGCCACAAGTGCCCACCTCTCCCAAATCCAGCCTTAGCGTCCAGCCTGGATTCCTGGCTGACCTCAACAGGACATTGCAACGCAAGTCTATCACCCGGCACGGCTCACTGTCCTCCTCCCGCATGTCCCGAGCGGAGCCCACAGCCACCATGGACGACATGGCATTGCCACCACCGCCCCCGGAACTGCTCTCTGATCAACAGAAGGCTGCTTTCGGAGGCAGTCATATTTCAGGCTATGCAACATTGCGGAGGGGACCACCTCCCGCTCCCCCTAAAAGAGACCAGAACACCAAGCTCTCAAGAGACTGGTAGCCACGAGACTTACTTTCATGGTATCCGTAATCACTTCTACAATCAGCTCACCTGATCATGTGAATTCAGGTGGTGTCTCCTGGTATAATGTTATTCAGGTAGTGTCCATCTATAAATGTGTGTACATAAGCACGTACACGCACAGCTATACAGATTATGTGTATATATGTATACATCTATGTATGTGTATAGAGAGAGAACTGAGAGTGGTTCTATTTATTCCTTTCCTCTCCTAATCCGAAAATGGCTTTTGTGTATTTGGGGTGGAATAGGCATGGGAAGGAGATGTGTTCAGTCTCTAACAATTTGTCTATCATGTGGATTGGACCAAAAACTTCTAGTTACTATTAGAAGGTCTTTTTTAAGTGTCTGTCCAAGGTGCAGCCTATTTGTGCATGTTGTTACGTAATTAAGTAGTAGATGTATAATGTGCTGTTTTTCAGTGGAGAAAACCACCAGAATGTTTGGTGTATCTGTAGGGCTTTTGTGTTTGCTTTTTTCCCCCCCATTTGGCTGAAGTTAGAGCTGCTTGACTGACACTTCAGTACTATACTATACATTAAGGGGCACTTTAAATCAGGAAAATCTCCGAGTTTCATAGAACAGGTAACTAGTGCAGGAAGGGGAAATTTTCAGACACTATGTGTGGCTGTACATAGAAAATCCATGGTGTGACGGTGCTAGTTGCAGTGCTCCTGCAATGATCCTAACCACATCTAGAGTGTTCTCGCACAGGTAAGCTCTTTGCCTGCAATACATGGAAACTTCAGTACTATACTTCTGAGTCATTTCTTTTGTGTACTGTTTTATGAAGCTTCATCAACTTGGCTTCATGAGGTTTGCTTTTTATTTATTGTAAGAATATCCAGTATAGTTACCACTATGCACTGTCCCTGTTTGTCTTTGGGTCACAGTTCCTTCTTAGATGTGTGTGCTTTAGGCAGATGTTGATACCTGTGGCAATTGGTATATGAAATATACATGTCCTGTGCCCAATATGGTGCATCATTACAAAGTTACTTTCTGCAATGCCTTTGTGTGTGCGCGCACGCATTGCTTTCTAGGAGAGGTGAGAAAGGAGAGCAAACCAGGATCTTGTACAAGTGTTATCCATCAGGTTGTATGGAGATTATAATACAAAGATTCCACTAAGTATGGGGATGTCATGGCAAGAAAATTAGGTTTTTGATCCTTTCATTCATAGCTGCTGGCACCACTCCACCTTGGCTGGTTGCAGAAATGTGTCCAGGTCTCCATATGTTCTGACGGAGTAGTGTCAGTCTTAAGTACTGTAAGTGACGCTACATATTGTGCATGTGCAGTTTGGGATAAGAAGGAATGGCTGCTCTAATGACACACTGTTTCACACTATTATATGCTTTTATTTTCTGTGACTTTTCCTTGATACGTGAGAGAAATTTGTTCTGTGTCATCAATTTATTATGAGGATAAATTGACTGTTAGGAATAAAATGCAATCGTAGAGCTGCTTTAAAGCGAGAGAATAAAAACTGACTGTCCCAGTAATTACAAGCAAACACATCTTGTAATGAAGGTCTTTGCCAATGCAAAGTACAGAAAGAGAAAGTGATGCCAGTGAAGTGGGGCATGGATGATAAATAAGGATAAAGCTGTACTTAGTACAAAAGGTGTCAGTCTAACCTACTCCAAAAAAGAACTACTTCAGAGAGCGAAAGTGGCACCTCTACATCGCCACATCTCAACGGTATTATTAAATAGTCATGTGGTTATGGAGCAGTAAGAATATTTACCATTGTGCATTTTTTCATATCCTTTTTAAACCTCTCACAAAGTTTTATAATGCCTGACATTCTTACACTTACAAAGTGACCTTTTAATGTATCTGCAGTGTTATTTTAGGCATGCACAGCAATTTGGTTAACAATTGAGAACAGATTGCCAGGTTCCACTGGGACTCAAGAGTGAAGAAATTTCCCCCATCTTCTAACCTGCTGCTTTATATTCTAAGGGTCATTGTATTTGTGGGGTAAAGATTACAAAGAACATGGATTCAATTATTAAATAATCATAGCCCTACAGTTTTGGGCTTTTTTGATCTTGTTTTGCTTTTTTATGAAGGTAAAGATGACTTTAAAACTTTCCTGGAGGTGGGGAACATACCTCCCATCTTTTTTCACCTATGATTAGAAACCTAAACCAATAGCCTTGGTGGCTACTTCTGTGTGGTCTTCCTGGGGTTTCTTGCTTGTGTCCATCTTGAACCACTCCTGATGTATTTTCCTGGAAGAGCAAACATCTTTGAATACTAGTATTGTCAAAAGAGCAGGGCCAGAGAGGGGACCATGTCATCTCTACCCCCAGTGCCATGGCTTGTCTGACAACGGGCCATTCCCTTTCCATTATTCCAAACGTGGAGATGGATAGTAATTAAAATTTTTTTTAACTTGTGGAACAACTGAAAAAAAAAAACCCAAAGTGATTCTTCAGGTTATACTTCTAACATTTACTCCCTAGTGGGATTTAGTTTGAGCTTTTGTTGAAATGTAGTTTTTGTTTTTAACCTGAGACTGTATTTTTATAGCTCTTTGTTCTCTGGTGTGTTTGTGGGAAAACACCTACTGCCAGACACTAGTGCTGTGCCTTCTTTCACTGCCTTCTGCTTGGCAGCTCCAGCCCCATCTGGCTTCTGCAGCCAGCAAAGGACATCTGGGAAGCTCATGTGGTTGTACTGATGAGGAAATAGGGTGGATGAGTCCACGCTGCTACTGAGGCAGTGCAGATAGGTGCCTAGTAGAGGTAGTGATTTGCTTGTTGGTGACACCCTTCCTCTTTACTACAGATAATTTTGAAATTTAGTCACTCTATGCTTAAAAGTTTCAGTACCAACTCTGAAGGGCATCAGACCCTATACTTGCTTAATAAAATAGCTTCAGGTTCATAGGTGGTAATAATAATTAGACTATTCTGTATTGAATTTTACCAGCTTGGCTTTTACAACTTAAAATATTTAAATACATTTTTCTTTTCCTTATCTGCTGTCATTCTCACTTGGGGAAGAAAAACTATTCTTAAGGTTTTTACAGATACCCACTTAACTATAAACTGAATTTTTTAAAATTTCTAAAACTTTTTAAAGTGAGAAGAATGGTTGGATCTTAAGTTACAGAAATCTGTCTCCATGAGAAAATTTCAAATGGATGTGTTTCACAGTCCTCTAAAACCAAGGTGCTCCTGCCCACCAATGGAGTATGTTGCTAAGGGCTGTGAACTATCCTGGATCGCCTCTCTATGTTTACCTTGTAGCTATAAACGATGCAGTTTGTCAAGACAGCAAAACAAAACTGAGAGCTCATCACATAACTGACATAATCCCACAAATTTTACTTGTTTAGATCAACTAAAACCATGTGACTCTGTATGACTATAGATATAACTTTCTTAAATATATATAAATAGGTCTAATAATTTGGGTTTATACACTTGATGACTTAAAAAACCCCTTTAGATTGCAAATACACCTTTTGGTACTTTTTTCCCCCTTACTCAATTTTACATCATTTGTGTAAAGCATAGCACACCTACAGTAATGTGTGACCTCTTTGCATAGCTGTGATCTGACCCAAAAAATATGCAAGTAAAACAGAACTAAATATCCCACTATCTTTTAAGATGTTCCTTTCAAATCTAATTGTATTTCCACATCTTTATCACTCTAACCCTCAAAAAATAAAAAGTGCTCAGTTCTTACTGTGCCCTTAGAAGATTTTTATGTAAAAGAAATTTGAAATTTAGCCAAAAAATAAACTTGCTCAATAAAAGCAAGCAAACCAACATACTTGACAAACACTTGAAGGGGGAAAATAAAACCTAATTGGTTTGCTCTTAGCTTGTTGAAGTAGTAAACCATTTAGAAAACTATTTGCTATAATCCCCAGTGCCTTGAACTCTTCTGGAGGAGTAACATTAAAATACACACAAACTAACAAGAAAACTGAGGTGCTGAAGAGAGCAAGGTAAAGTATTTCTAGTTTGGGCAGAAATGGAAAAAGTGACTCTTACAAGATGGCTTCATCTACCCTAAATGGTTCTACCAAAGATGTTTCGAGAAGGCTGTCTAGTCAGAATGACGGTGAATGCTACCTGTTTAAGAGGCTGCCCAGTTCAGAAGTGAGTATCTCATCATGGGTGTCTATAAATACAAAGTGCATGATTGTTTCAATCTCAACCTTTTCTTAGGCAGTAAAACATGTCTTCAGCACTTAAGGAGTCAAAACCCTACCTTTGAGAACTGCCTACTGCTCATTAAATTTAACTTAATACCAAAAACTGTTTTTTTGATGATTCCCACCTGCTACTTTTTCTCTATTTGTAAATAATCCCTCCTAGACAATAAACATTAACTGGATTGTTCCCAACGATTCTGATTTAGTATCAACCACCTTAGCGAACTCTTCTTACAGAGATGTATGCATAAGGTAAAATATCAGTAGCTTACAATATGTGTTGTTAAAAAAAAAAAAAAAGACACTGTTTACTGTTTTAAAGGAAAATTGCACATTATATTTAACGGGGTTGCTTCTTCCCCCCTTTTAAAAAAGAGTCAAGGTTCATACTAGCTTCTAGGCCGTGGGAGCTTTGTCATAAATAGTTATAATGTAGAACTATTTTTAAAGCATGAAGAAAATGACAAAAGGAACTGCATTATAAAGTACTAGATAAAGGACCTTATTTAGGATTATGCAAAACTCGGGACAGATGAAATTATGGTTTTTCTTTCAGCCTTGTTGCTATTGTTTTCTTCTGCATAAATGTATACTCATTTCATTATGTGCCTTGCTCCCTAATTGTGGAAAGCTCTCTCTCTATATATATACACATAAAAAATATATGTATGAAAGAGATATATTCAGTACTACTGATGATGTTTCTGACCTACTGCTGGATTAAGTTATTTTCCAAGTTATTCTTGCCAGTTATTGTCAGTAAACTGTTGTAATGGCTGAGGGCAGTAGTAGTACAACCAGTGTGGTTTTCCAACTACATGTTCTCATTATGTCAGCTTACCCAATCCTTAATAAAAAAAAAACTATACAGACACACACACACATATACACAGATTCCATTTAAACACAGGGACTTGGAGTGTTTGTGGATCAGCACCATTAAGACCTGGTTTTGCTTTTCATAGGCTGTAAAATAAGAACAATTAAGTGTGAAGGTGTAACAGTTTGATGTGTTTGAGTTAACTGTAAGAATAAATTTATACCAACAGACTGGGGAGCTCTGGCCATTAAATACATAAGTAATAATAGCTTAAAGATTTTTTCTTTAAAGCACAACCAGGACAAACTAGTACAAAAAGATACTTTTTGTTTCAGTTATGTATTGGACTGCCTTACCACGGTGTGTGTACTTGTGTTTACAGATCACTTTCCCATTTACCAAACTAGGACCAAAAGAAGGCCCTCCTTCTTTCACCATCTGTCAGTCCTACTGGTTGTGAAAACTGCCCTTGTTTAGCTTTGGAGAAAGAAACTTACATTATGCAGGCAACAACAAAACAAATGGTAAATCCACACAAAGCATTTCAACCAAATGTGTGATTCCACAGTAACCCACAAGGAGTCAAGTGATAAGATAATTAAGAAAGACTGGCTGTTAAATATCTTTTCTGGAAGGACTAATCCTGCTGAAAAGTTCATTTGTAAATAAGAGAAAACCTCTTCTTAAAAACGCTCCTTAAAAACATAAAAATTCATCACCTGGGTAGTCAGTTTTCCATATTATTATCCAACAGGTAATGACATCCCAAAGAAAAAGGCATTGTGAAGATGGAGGGCAGGAAGTACGGAAGTGTTATTCTTGGTTATCTTGGAGACAAACTTTGTGCCACTGAATCAAATATCATTAGAAAGTTCTTTGTCAATTTATCATTTCACTAAGATCACTGATCTGCAATTCCCTCATTTCAATTTGAAAAAATTTTGCATTAATGAACTATAGATGTATTAGGGGAAACACAGTTCATAATTATGGAGCTGCCTTGAAAAACACTTCACAGAGACCAAACTTGTTTAAGGCTCAACGTTTTAAATATCTGAACTCTAAGACTTGGTAATAAAATTCCCTACTTTAGATCAGCAAGAGAGTCAGGGCCTATCCTTACCACTTGGATACCATCTTAGAAAAAGGTTAAATACATAAATAATTTCACAAGACACTTGAATATACTTTGTGTGATTTTATTTAGGTCAAGTTCTTAGTACACAGCAATAATTAATTCCAAATACAATTAAAAAATTAAAAAGTGAATGTTCCCCCACTGATCTGGAGGTGGTGGCTTAATGGCACACACAAACACATTACTGGCAACAGAATGCTCCCTCAAGTTGCCTGAATGGTTTTTACTCAACACCACCAACTCTTACTCTGGGAGCTAAAGAGTGTAACTGGTCAGATCACAAATTGTTTACATTCTTTTTGTAAACCATTTTGTTAAGAAAAAAGGTACATGGACACAAAATATGATAAAAACTGCTTTTCCATAGAATTCTGAAGTTGCAAAAAAGGTTTAATTTTAATGTGAAAATAAGCTTTTTGTTGGGTTTTTGTTTTGTTTTTTTACAAAAAACCTTAAGATATTTAGCAAGGATCATTTATACACAGCTAGGCCCTGTCATTTCATTTATAATTTAAGTAGAGATTCTCAGTAAAACAAAGCACATAAAGTAAACTTAAAGATAATGAGCCCAATGCCTCCTCCATTTAATAACTTTCATAAGGCTCTCTTAAGTAAGGCTGTTCGCTGTGCTGTGCTCCTGCCAGTGCTGAGCTAATATAACACATTTTTGCTATACATCTTACAGAAAAGTGTTTATACTGAGTGTAGTTTTAGAAGGGGCAAATGTTTATTTTCACTAATTAAGGTTGCACTTGATATACTCCTTAAAACAGTCTGAATAATTTGATGGTTATTTATCAAAACATGGCATATCTTTTCAAGTATATTCCTGAAACATCAAGTAAAACTCTTTAATTTTTAAAGAAAAATACAGCACATTTAATTAAGACAGTTGTGGTGCAGCAGAAAGAATACTGGGCACTGAGTGAAGAACTCTACTACTTCCATTAACTAGCTGTCTAACCTCACTGGTCAAATGAGACTGAATCAAAAATTTTAGAAGCTTATCTAGCTTTAAATTTCTGATTCTATGTTAAGTCATATTAGGGAAATTATCACCTTCACACTAATGAGGAGTTCCTGGCCAAAGTTCAGAAATGAATAGATCCCAGTTCTTTTCAAAGGCTTGGCAGTCACTTGCCAATTCCATAATCAAACACTTTTCAGAGGTAACTGGCCTTCAGAACATGACAGGCTCTCTCCACAAGGAGAAAAGGTGATAAAAGGTAAAAAGCAGTTCTTCATGCAGAAAAGTCACCTAGCAGAAGAAAATGAAAATATAAAAAGCAAACTACTATCATTTTAATGCCTCCCAAACAGAAAAACCTTAACTTTATAATCAACGTAAAACTGCAAAGCAACACAGCTACATTACAGAGATCACTATTAAAGATGCGTAAAACATTCTCTCTAGCAGCAGGAGGAAGGAAAGGAGTTGAAAACATTACCAGTGACTTTTTGGAACACAGCAAAAAATCAGCAGTCCTGTACCAACAAGAAGACAGAAAGTAGTAGCCAAAAGATAGAACAAGGCATCTTACAAGATTCATATTTATTCCAAATACAGCAGTCTCCGTCTCTCAGATCTAGATTTTGAAACATTGGCACTATTTTTGTTTCCAATTTGCCTTGGCCATAAGGTCAAACACAAAAAGAATGCGTAATTCATTTATATCTCCATAGGCTCTTCATTTATGTCTCCATAGGCTCTTCACAGATTAGTACCAAGGAAAAGGAACAATTGTTTGGTTGTTTTTAAAGGGGAAAAAGAACAGGCACGCAAAAACACTAGAAGACAAGAAGAGACTCCATCTTGATAAAATGGTTGCTTACTGGTCAGCAGATTTTAGACTTGCATCATCTTTGCTATATTATTAACTGTGTATAGCATATCAAGATTTTAAAAATTCATCTGAAATTGTTAATACTGTCTTAGTATAATAAAATAAATTGGGTTTAACAATAAAACAGAAAATACTACCGTCATGGACTATTAATGGCATGTAATCTTTATTACATACATTATAAGTCTCCAATTACTATAGGTCTGGCTTATTATTACATAGTGTTCTTCTAAGACAAACCTACAGAATTCAAAACTACAAAAATTAAAAATATGCAAAAAAAAAAATCGAACAAGTGTTGCTTGTTTAAAAAAAAAAATGACACACATTACTACCACATAAAAGAAAAAAACCCAGTAAACTCACAGATTCCCCGTTGCAGATCTTCAATGGAAAGGACCTCAGCAGCATTTTCTGCACACCCACCTAGCTGGCAAACTGGACTCCTGCTGACTGCCACCAGCTCTGCTTCTGCAGCTGTCTTTGCTTTTGATAATGATTAGCTATGGAAAATATTACTGGATTTTCAAATCACCTTCTGTCTTATTAATCCATTAAGCTTTCTCAGCAAAAACTATTTAAATAAATAACTGAAACAAATAATTTCAAAAGTTTCCCTAATTATGCACCAATACTAAGAGTTTAACCTTTCCAAGTATAGTCTTGTTTGGGTCCATAATAGAGCTAAAGGCTCAGAGAACATTCTGGGCTATTATTACACTGAAGGAAAATTGGGAATAAGACATGTCGAAATGACCTATAACAAAAGCATGAAGTGGAATGTGTACTACAGGCAAGTTAATAAAAAAGCTAAATGTGAAGTGTTGGGGAAAGCCTAAAAGCAAAATAGCAAAATTCTAACATGTTTAAAAAAGAAAACAACAGCAACAACTACAACAAAAAACTCTACAACTTTAAAGTAAAAAAATCTTGATAATGAAACTAGCTGGGCCTCAGTTAAGCTTTATGCTTGGATAACAGATGTGCAAGTGGAATATTAACTTTAGCCTATGCTATCTGAATTTCCTCACGCTTCTACACTTTATCTGCACCACCCTTGAACCCACTAGGAAGCAGCTATTGCTTCTTCCTTTTCACCCAGCACAGGGAAGTTAGCAGCAAAGATCTATTCTGGTCAAATCACTGAACTGGAGAGAAGCCACACTAGAGGGCTGGGCCTGACCACAAGCTGGCTGGTCATTATGGGGTTCACTTACTGAGAAGCAGTCCTCACTAATTACAGAAGTGATCCTACAGACCTCACTAAATTTGAAGCTGCAATTACACTGATGGGGTAAAATACTTGGTAATTATTTCTCTCAAAAGTTCTACTGATTTTTATCAATGTAATCAGGTAAGTATTCTTAGTTTGAAATAGAAGGTTCAAATTCTTACCAAGAGCAGCTACTTCAGAGTCTAATCATACAGAATTAGGCAAGTTATTTACCTTTTCTGGAGCTCAGTGAGTAAATGACTCAGCAACAGCTAACACTATCCATTAGTAATGTTCAGAGAGCACAATAGCAGCCTTTTATTCCCAGTGACTATCAAGACACTTGAAAACAAACTATTCTCTTGGGGGTGGGAGGAGAGTAGTGTTTTTCTAAATATAACAGTAAAGTTGGTCTAGCCTCCAAAACCCTATTCTTGGAAATAGCACCTAAGGCACGGTGCTACAGTTCAGTCCCTTCAGAGCCTTAGGAACCTTCATGTCTAGCTTCACACACCAACCTCAGCATGCGAACTGGCCTATCAATTTCACATCAGGTGCAATGGCCATGAGCGGCCATGCGTCTCACGCAGCAGCACATTAAAATCAAACTATAGCAACTGTTTACCACCCTGGGAATGTTTGCAGACTTTCAATTTCATCATCCTTACAATCTACAAACAGAAACGGATATAACTTGAGTTTAGTATTAACTTGTCTGACGTACTAAGTACTGAGAGAATGCAGAATTTATACAGGTAAAGAGGAAAAAAAGCCATCTGAAAAAATTTTTAAATAGTTAAGTATGGTATTTTAATACCGGTTCCCTCCTCTGCATACAAGCGGAAGAAAGTGAGGGGCTGTAACAGCCACTGGACCATGAATGAGGTCAACCTCTTAGCACAGGCAATGAAGAACATCTAGTGCCTCAGATTCTATCATGAAGAGGAATTCCAAGGGTGTACAGTATTCCTGAGAAAAGATCCCAGATTTTTCTTTGAATCAGTCTTAATTTGATTTGTTTCTAGCTATTTATTATATTATACCTTTGACATATTCAGAAGTGGTCACTTTATTTCAATCCAAACAGCTCAGCATAGTACAAATGACAACAGAAAGATAAAGATCCATTTGATCAGACTTGAGTTGCTTTTTGTTTTTAATACTGGGGAATAAACCAAAAAATAAGTAGTTTTTTAATCATTGATATCCTTCATTCTATTCCACTAGAAGGAAATGCCCAGGGCCTTGGGATAATCTGGGAAGACCTGACTATTCCTGTGAGGGAAGCACAGCCCTGCTGAGCTTTACTCAGAATAATGCATGATGGACTCGACGTAATTCCCAGGAAAGAGCCCAGTCACTCCATTCATAACTCCCTCATACCAACCATCGTCATTCTTCTTGATGACATAAATAATGGCTCCTTCCTGAAAGGACAGCTCGTCTTCCTTGTCTTTTGTATAATCATAAATTGCCACAACTAGGGAGGAAAAAAACAAAATATTATTCCTAGAAAGACAAAACCTTAAGTACCCAAACCAGCAACTTTCTAAACAGACCAAAATACACACACACACACACACACACACAAAATCTAATAACCAGTCCTATACAATGAAATCCCATTTTCTAGGAAAGTTAGGTTCTAAAATGAACCCAAATGGCAACAGAAAGAAAAAAAAACTAACCACATTTAGTGAAACTTACCAACACCCCATGGGGAAACACCTCACCGAAGACAGAAACAATCTCAGAATCATGAAAGATAGCTATGTGTTGAGGCACCGTATTTTTTTTAATATTTATCTTTAAACATTAGAATTATACTAGTGCTGTGAGATAGAGGAGAGGAGAATGAGAAACAAGAAAGGCTGAAGGAATAGCAAATTCATGTCTCCTTTCTACAGTCTCTATGGCTGTTCACTAAGAATGGTGGTTGAATTCCCACAACTTAAATGCATGAATGATGGAAGCCCATGATATATATTCTTTCAAAACAAATAGCCTTATGTCACCAACTCAATACATTCTCAATAATATTCTAAAAGTGCTAAGAAAACCAAGGCATTGTAAGCTCTCCTGTGATTTTTACTTCTTAAATCACTTGGTCACTGGGGCTTCTCAATCATTATTACAGAAAATCTCTGGTTCCTAACATTACATCTACACCTCAACAGTTTTGTTAATTAGGATACCTTATAATTTACTCAAATCCACTATTTTGTTAGTAATACTCAAAAACCTCATGCATTGAAATCACCATCCATTATTCTAAGAAGCCTATACTTTCAGTTCCTTCTGTAATTGTATTCCTCGCTTAAATAATTGAGAAACAGAAACCACAAAGACTTCTGATAGAATGCAATTTGCCTTAAGAAGTTAAAAAAAATTTATGTTTCTGGCCCACTTTAAATGCCTTCCTTAATCATGTAAATATTTTTTATTACTGTGATACATTAAGGGTATCAAGAAATACTTTACAGAACCCTAGCTTGGAAGAGTTCAAACTATTATCTCTCAAAATATAACCAAACACAATTCAATGTAACTAAATGACATAAGTTTATCTAGTATTGCTAGTCAACCTAACTTTTTTTTTTAAAGACTTTTTTTTTTTCCTTGCTTCAGGGATAATGCTTGCTAGGCAGGCACCTTACTACTTATGCCACTCTGCCAGCCCTAGGACAATATTCTTGAAGCTTACAGAAATGTAAAACCTGAAAAGTAATTCAGAGGCGAATATAAAGACTGCCACAACAAAGAGAAGTTAAGTAGAAATAAAAAGTTATTTTGCTCTGTGTGCATCCATTTTCTTCTGTAAAATGTAGAAACTGAATCGATTAGACAGAATCCACACTGAAGATGATTCCAGGGACTCCATAGTGGTGGTACAGAGCTGATAGGTATTTTTCCACTTTTTTTGGGGCGGGGGGTGAGGGAGGGACTATCAAAATTAGTGATCACTTTTGAAATTAACTAGCTTTTTAAATCCAAAAAAATGTTTGAAATATTCATTTTCATTCCAGGGAAAGATATACACCATTAGTTTACCTTATTTCTTCACTATGAAGCTATTCAAAAGGAAGATACACTGATTCAATGCAAAAGACTTTTATCAAAATAATTCTAGAGCTAGTAATGGTGGCTCATACCTATAATTCCAGCACTTGGGAGGCAGAGGCAGGAGAATCGTGAGTTCACAGGCTGAGCTACAAAATGAGATGTCTCAAAAACACAAAGCAAAAGAAGTATCTATTAACTGAACATGGTGCAATCATTTGTAATCTCAGCATTCATGAGGCTAAAATAGGAGGACTGTGAGTTCAAGGCCAGCCTGGGCAACTTAGTGAGACCTTGTCTCAAAATAAAGGGTTAAGGATATAGCTTAGTAGTAGACCTCTTGCCAAGTATGCAGGAGGCTCTGGGTTCAAACCCCAGTGCTAAAGGGGGGGGAAAAAAAAGGAATATAAACCAATATACCAGTATTTGTATTTTGGGGTATGTGTATGCATATGTGAAATATATACCAATACTAGTAACCACCAAATACTGTGTGTGTATATATTTTTTAATATATAAACATTCAGAATACTGATGTTGAAAAATAACAAAATTAGGTCTTGGAAGTAGTGAGAAAAATCTAATAGATGTTTTTTCCAGTCATGCATGTATAGCACATAGTATCGCAATTACACGTGGAATTTTAAAAAGCATGTGAGAAAAATATTTTAAGAAAATGTGAAATATTTGGTTTCTATGTGGTTACAGTGAAACAAAGAAGGACTACTACTACTGGTGCCTACATTTTTTTTTTCTCAATGGTTTTGCTACCATGAAAATGTGTCTTAAATTTCAAAGTATACTATTTGAAATTAGCATTTCAAATCAAGGCTAAAACAATTTTATGAAGGCCTGTAAATGAGCAAAACGTCTTTTCTTAAAGGTTTCTATTTTTTTATTTTAACCTTATAATTTTATATGAAATATGCTGAAAGAATTAAATATAAACAAAGACAGTGTCGATGATTAGTAAGAGGATTCAATAATCTTTTCTCATAAAACATGTAAGTTGAAACAAGGAACAACAATCTAAAACAAAATCTCTCCATGCTGCAAACTCCTGAAGGATTCATAGCTTACTCATCTCTATGCATCCCTCTAGCACCTAGCACAAGGCCTAGCATTTTGGACACTTCTAAATAAATCTATATTCCATATTACTAAACAACTGAGTCAGTAACAAATATAACTTAGATCTGTATCAAGAAAAAAACTGAAGTGATACTAAAATAAAAATAAGAATGTTACATAAAAGTGACTGGCATGAGTTAAAAAAAGAGTCACCACCAAATACTGTAGGAGCATTAGCAACCATACTTAGCAATTATGTCCCTTGAGCTGGCAACAAACTACTAGAAAATCAAAATGTTAGTAGATTATACATCTCAATATACTTTTTTATATTAAGTCATGTTCTGAAGTGAGATGGTTTTATTTATATGGAGAATGAAAAGCTTATCCTAAGTCAGTAAAACTCCACTTCATATAATTTGGAATTTATGTATAACATGACTTGAGGTAGAACAAAGTTAACTTTGACACTATCAATGAAGACAATGTTAAACTACTTAACGATGCAGTCGGAATTAACAAACCTTTCAGAAGCTATTAGGGGTACTGTTTCCTTCTTTCCCCACCATTCTAATGAAACCACTGAAGAACCCATCCTCTAATTTTGATATCCTTGGCACCTTTGCAAACAATATGTGTGGACCTATTTCTGGATTCTGGATTTTATTCCATTGATTTATATTTCAATACTTATACCAGAACCACGTCTTGAATCTTGTAATTTTAGCAAAACCTCCAAAATTTTTCTTTTTCAAAATTTTTGACATTAGAACTTTTGCATTTCAATATAACTTTTAGAACACCCTTGTCAATTTCTATATGAGCGATTTCTCAAATTTTTACTGCAGATCAATGTGAGAAAAAGAGTCTCCTAACAACAATCAAAGAACTATGTCTCAATTTAAGGCCTTCATTAATTCCTCTTAAAGTTTTAGTTTTCATCAAAGGTCTTGCATATGTTTTACTGTATTTCTAAGCACTTCATATTTTTGATACTTAAAAAGGCCTTTTTAAGGATCAAAAGGATCAAAAGGATATAAAAGGATTTTTAAATTCAATCTCCAGCTTTTGCTAGTATATAAAAATGTAGTTTTCTGTATTGACTAATAATACAATCTTGCTAAGGTTGCTCTTTAGTTCTTCCAGCTTTTCTTTAAAGGTATCTTAGGATGAAAATTAAAAGTTTTGATTGGTTTTTTCCCAGCTTGTATGCCTTGACTGTTGTTACTGTTTTCCTTTATTGCACTGGCTGGGACCTCTGATTCAATGACGAACAGGAAATATAAGAGCAGATACTCCTGCCTTGTTCCTGATTTTTAGGAGTTCAAATATTCAGTCTTCACACTTAAATATAACATTAGTTGTAGGTTTCTCATAGATAACAGTTCATCAGGTTGAGGAAGTTCTAAGTTTGCTAGATTTTTCATTGTAAGTAGGTAAAAATAATTTTTCTGAACCAAATGAGATGGTCACATTTTCTTTAATTTGTTAAAATAGTGCATTACATGGATTTTTAAAAATGTTATATCAACCTTGCATTCCCATTATAAATTGCACTTAGTCATAACTTATCATCCCCTTCCTACACTGCTAGATTGGATCTGTGACAATCTGAAGAATTTTTGTTTGTAAAATTATCTGATTTTGTTATGATGTAATTTTGTTATCAAGGTAACACTAGCATATAAAATCAATTGAAAAGTATTCTCTCCATTTTCTGTTTTCTGAAAAAGTTTTTGCAGTATTGGTATTACTTTTTAAACTAAATGTTTGCTAGAACTTCCAATTCTAGTAACTACCAGGGTCTCAAGTTTTCTTTGTTGAGAAGGTCTTAAAACTACACACTCAATTTCTTTAATACCTAGATGGCTTCTCAGGTTACCTGTTTTGTTTTTTTTAAGTGAGCTTTGGTAGTTTTGTGTCCTTTAAAGAATTTGTCCATTTCATCAAAATCGTTGAATTTATAGGCATAAAGTTACTCTACCCTTTCAATTTCATTTCTGATAAGGGTAATTTGTATCTTTTATCAAATGTTTTTCAGTACAATCATCTAATGTTAAAATTTTCTTCTAAGTACACAATGATACATGGCATATTAATTTTCATTTGGTTAAAAATGTGATGTATAGAGTAGAGAGCCTGCTACCATGGTGAGTCCCTGGATCCAATCCTTAGGTGGGCGGGGCTCTAGTTCATTATGTTTTCTTCATTAAATCATTAATTACTACAAGTGTGTTGTTGAATTTCCAAATATTTGAGGATTTCTGTTCTCTGCTTCTTTATCCTTCTCAAGAGATGGGGTCTCACTGTGTTGCCATGGCTGACCTCACCCAGGCTCAGGCAATCCTCAACTGAGACCTCCAAGTAGCTTGTGAGTGTGCTATCACACCTAGACTATTTAGACTATTTCTGTTGTTTTTTTCTAGCTAACTTCTACTGTGGTGATCGGAGAACATATATGCATTATTTCAAACCTCTGTGTCTACTGCGACTTGTTTATGGCCCAGAATATTGTACAGATCAGTTCAGTGCACTCTGCAGTTGCATGACGAGTGTCCCATACATCTTAAGGAGGGCAAGTTGGGAAAATTGCTCATGTCTTTCTCTGTCCTTACTCATCTCCTATTTCTTCTGTCAAAATGTAGACGGGAATGTTGAAATCTAACTAAAATTATGATTTATATTTTTTCTTTCAGGTTTTTCTATTTTTGCTTTTCAATTTTTTTTTTTTTTTTAATAGTGCTGGGGTTTTGAAGTCAGGGCCTCACACGTGCTAGGCAAGTATTCTACTTCTTGAGCCATACACCTCAGCCCTTCTTTGCTTTGGTTATTTTTCAGATAGGGGCTAGAATGTTCTGGCCTGGAGGGCCAGCCTCAGATCACAATCCTCCTACCTATGACCTCTACTGTAGCTGGGACCATGGGCATGAACTACCATGCCCAGATTATTGGTTGAGATGGGATCTTACTAATGTTTGCCAGGGTCTGACCTTAAACTGTAACACTCCCAACCTCTAACACATCTGGGATTACAGACATGTGCCACCACGTCCAAACTCAAAGATCTGTTAAGGGTATGTATATTTATGATTATTACCTCTTTAATGAAATAATTCAATCATCCTTACAAAATATTCATTTTTTATTGCAGGAAGTATTTCTTGCTCTGAAATCTACATTCATGTTAACATAACCAACCCAGCTTTCTTTTGACATTCTTTTTACTTTTACCCAAAGGATCTTTACATTTAAAGTGGTTTTCTTGTATACAATATATAATAGCTGGATCTTTTTTAATCCAGTTTCTCAATCTCTGCCTTTTACTTCAGCTTGTTTAAACACTTCATATTTAATGCAATTATATGCTCAGTTTTAATTTACCATCTTGCTGTTCAAATTCTATTTGTCTCATCTTTGTTTGTTTCTTCCTGTTTGTTTTGGGTTAAGTATTTATTATTTCATTTTGCTCCCTTGCTTATATGTTAGCTAAATCTCTGTATATTTTTTCCTCTCTACCTTCAAGACAATACTATTTCACAGGTAGTAAATGAACTTTATAAAAGTATATTTGTATCTCTCCTTTCATTGTGCTAATTAAGTCACTTGTATTTACTCTAAATAAATTATTACTCATTTCAGTTATCTCTAAAAAGGTTAAAATGTGAAGAGTCTTTGTATTTACTAATATGCTTACCATTTACTCCGTTTTTTAACAGACCTGTGATTACATCTACTGTCCCTTTTCTTCTACCTGGAAATGTTCCTTTTAAAATTTCCTATGTATGTCAGTCATGAATCCCTAGCTCTTCTTCCTTTGTAAGCAGGGTAAAGAACCCGAGACTGGTATTCTCCTTCACTACTTTAGAGATGCTGCTCACTGTTTTTGACTTGCATGGGAATTGTATAGTCATTTAGTCATTTTTATTCCTCCCTATGTAATGTATCACTTTTCCTCTGATTAGCTTTAGAATTTTCTCTTTAGTAGTGATTTTTAATAATTTGACTATGATGTCCCTTGGCATGCATTTTGTTATGTTTTTTTCTTTTGGGGGTTTTTCGAGCTTATTGGTGCTCCAATGATTTGTGTCTCATAGTATTCATGCCTTTATGCAAGCAATCCCCATTCATAGCATATGGGTAAACCTACTGACTTCCTCTAATAAATAGAACGTGGTGGGCTGGCAGTAGACTCAAGTGGTAGAGCACCTGCCTACCAAGTGCAAGGCCCTGAGTTCAAACCCCAGAACTTCCAAAAAAGAAAAAAGTATGGAATATGACAAAACTGACATGTTGTCATTTCTGAAGTTAGGTTAATAATTTAAAAAATGAAAAATCTTCTGTCTTGCTTGCATGCTCTCTCCCTCTTCTTGCTTATTCATTTTCATGAGGCAAGCTGCCATGTTGTGAGCTGCACTATGGACAGGCCTATGTGGCCCAGAATCGTAGGCAGCTTCTGGTTAACAGCCAATGAGGAAATTAAGGCCCTCAAGCCAACAACCTATGAGGAAAGGATTCCTGCCAATGGCTAAATTAGAGAGCATAAGAGCAAAGCCTCCCCCAGTCAATCTTGGTGATAACTGTAGCCTTAGCTGACAATGGATTGCAGCCATGTGAGTCTCCTGAGTCAGAAGGATCCAGCTAAGCCCACAAGTGAAATAATAAATGGTTTTTGTTTAAGCCAGTAAATTCTGAAATAATTTGGTACATAGTAATAGATACCTAAATACAGCTTTATTAACTGTGGAAACATTTTGCCCATTATTACTTCAAATATTATTTCTTTCTTTCACCTCTCCTAGAGACTCTGATTACATATGTATTAAAGACTTTTTGGTCAGGTGCCATAAATCTAATTAGTCTTCATGAGATTTGAAAGCCTGTATTCCAAGGTGCTATTGTCATGGTTTTCGAAACCCTATTTCGAAAAATCAGAACAATTAATGTTCTAAGCATGGGGATAGAAATGATAACTTGGAAAAATAATCCTCTTCCTGAGGCATTCCAAAGGAAGCAGAAAAGCCCTCTCTTTTGTGATTTTTATATTAGAGAAACCATTTGTGAAAATCAAGTTTAATAGGAATGGATAACCATCAATTTAAAAAATAACCAGTGTTCACAAAATTCTAATACCATGGACTTCCAAAATTCTAAACCTCAGCAAAGTAAATTACTAAAATTGAACAGATACACAAACAAACAAAACTACTTCTCAGTAAAAAAATAAAGATTCTCTCTTCAGTACCAGCAAATTTCATTTCCATATACACATCTTCCCATCCCTCCAGAAAGCATTCTGAACTTACCTTTTTCCAAATAAGATCTTGGAGCCCATGGAGGGTCTTCTTCAGCATAAGGGTCACTGTACTCGACCACAGCTGCTTCCTCCTCCTCATAATCTTCAGGAGGGGGAGGGGGAGGGGGAGATTCATCAAACACAGGTTCTTCCACAGGTGGTGGTGGAGGTGGTGTATCTGAAACTAAGAATATATCAAGCTGACAACAAAACTATACATTATGCAAGCCTCAGTATTTCTTATCTAAGCTTCTAGATTCATGAAATGCAAACCCACACTTGAAAATAATAAATCTTTCAAAAACTGAGAGGGCAAGGGAAGTCTTCTCACCAAATATAATTTTCTGTATCTCCATGTATGACTTTCTTCCTACCCTTTGGGTTAGTGCTAATGGATGTAGAATAAAGTTCTACATAAAATAAAGCCAAAATAATTACCATTAATTGGGCTTCTCGAACCTTTTTATGCTAATACATAATCTTTTTTTTTTTTTATAAAAGAAATCAGTACAATACAGTTTGGCTTTACATTCTACTCAAGGAGGCGTTATCTAATGATTTAGATAATATAACCATATCTCATTTACAACAAATTAAAATAATTCCTCCCAGGGAATAGTCAAATTTTAACAATCTACTACTTTCCTTTCAATTTTTTTAAAATAGCATTTTACCAAATGTGGAGGAAAAATCACTAACAATTTTGGGTAACTTTATCCATAAAGATGTTTTATTTACAGAATTTCAACTAAGTGAAACTAATTTATGCTCCAAATTTTCATGCTCAATGTTCAAATTACATTTACAGGTTAGATTACATAAGAGTAATTTAAAATATCTAAAATTCATCCTATAGAGATCTGCCCTCGAAGCTCAGGTATTAGCACATTGTAATATCTGAAAGACTATCTCCAAACTCAGAGAACGCAAAGCTTTCAAAATGCTTGGAATGTACATGAACACAACTCAACAAAATAAACTTATATCTATCAGCTGCCCGGTTTTTTGATTTGTTTGGTTTTTTTTTTTTTTTAGCAGTACTGAGGTTGAACTCAGTGTCTCATGCTTGCTCTATCACTTAAGCCACTCCACCAGACCAGCTTTAATGAACAACATTAATTCTTATGTATCAATATCAAAATTGTATCCATGAATTTCTCTGAGCAATCCTGTTTGGTTTTTTTTTTTTTAATGGAAGCCTATTGACTGAAGCAAATGGATTTATGAAATTGTCGGTGCTTGCTGAGAATCAGCTGTATCAACACCATGTTCTGTGTTCATTCAATGTTGTCCTCTCTCATGCCTCTCTGCACTTAACTACTTTATAAACTTTAAAATTTTATTCACTAAAAATACTTCAGACCCATGAGGTTGTTTGTCTGGTTTTTCAGTGGTCTGAGGGGATACTTTTTGGTTTCATGTTTTGTATTTTTGTTTTGAGATAGGGTCTTAGCCTCAGCTGGCCTCAAACTCCCTATGTAGCTTAGGCCACCGTCAAACTTGAGATTGTCCTGCCTCAGCCTCCCAACTGCTGTGATTACAGACGTGTGCTACCCTGCTTGGTGCTAGTCCTACATCTTTTTAATAAAGGCACAAATATGTGATTTTAGTATGTACTTTATGAAAAATTACATATGGATGAGATGAGAAATAACAGTATATGTTGTTTGCACTTATAATATAAAAAGGCTGATTTAAACAAATGCACAAAAGCATAGATCCAAAAGAACTTTCAGATCACTGAAATTACACTACATTCAAAGAGGCTGTCATTAATCATGTTTACCTTTCTTGTAACTGCCTGAGAGCCAGTTTAATAAGAATATCCTAGGTTACTACTTTATACTTATAATGTCTCAATCATTGAGCCAGCACTCTATAAATACATTTAATACATTCCATTTAGTCTTTATCTTAGAAGGTGGTGTTTTAATTTTAAGCATGTGGAAATGGGCTTCCCAATATTACTAGTCCTACAACATTAAGTGGGAAAGCACCTGAACAGCTACGACTATTACCTTAAAAACTACACTACTATGGGATAAGAAAATTTTAATAACTTTAAAGTCATGTTTCATTATTACTCATTCAGTAAACATCAACTGAGAACCTACTATAGTTAAGATACTATGCTCAGCACTGAGAAAAAGAGTGGTGGGCAAAAGTCATGCAGACACGGACAACCACACTTTCATTTACAATGAAATGTAATGAATGCTTTAAGATGCTATAGGAACATGCAGCGTAGACCAAATTGCCTCCTATGTGGGTCAGGGAAGGAGAACTGAACGATAAGTCAAAGCTAATGGCTGGGGGTTGTATGGTATGGGAATGGATACTTCATGTCAGACATAAATTTTTTTTAAAAGTGTAAAAATAAGAAAGCAGGAAACCTTTGAAGAACTGTCCAAAGTTCAACAGAGACAGAGGAAGACTAAGTAGGGCAGGCCTTACTGAAGTTTGGATTCTATCCAAAGAGCAACGGGGACTATAAAAATTTTAAAATATTAATAGGGCCATAAATGCACTTCTTACACAACTGTAACTGGTTCCAAATAATTCCAGACTTCTTCCAAATACTAAACTTGATTCAGAGTAAATTTTTGCTCCCATAAAATATCTTCAAAATAATATGCCTAAAAAGCTCTGAAGAGAATTCTGAAAGGTATGTTTCTTTCCAAGGTAAATATTTTGAGGTAACATTCATTTGAATGTGTAAGTCCTGCTATGTTTATGAAATCAGTCACAGCACTCCTTATACAAAACGGAGGGGGTGGGGGAGAGAGTAAGAGAGAAATGGAGGGGAAAGAATAGAATAGAGGAAGGGATAGGAAAGGTTCCCAAAAGGCAATCAAATGTGATAGGGTATCCAAATTAGGGAATGAGTTTTTAAAATATAGGCAGTGCTGCTATAATGATAATGATGTTTTATAAACATCTAGTCAAGACATTTCTAAATCTTGAGCTGGTGAATCATGTATTTCAGTAACATTAAATTAAAACAGTACTTTTGGAGATATGTTCATGAAACATTGTAATGTTTCTACAAGTTCTACAATTTTTCACTACTGACTATGAAAACTAATGACATCCCAACTCATAATCCTATTCAACTTTCAAGTCTACTTTTTAGTTCCTATACAAACATTCTTATCAATTTCAAGATCTGGCCTCTACTCCAGAAGCTGCTTGAACTACTTTGTTCAAAATGAATGAGATCATCTCACAGAACATACAGCACATCAAGATAGTAAAACAATAAACAAACAAACCTTCCAGAGCATTATAAAAGTGACTACCTTCATTAAATTGATTTGTGATAGATGAAAACTTTCTTAGTGTAATGGGTATGTAAAAATGGAACTAAATTGAAAGTCCTTCGTTTTGATACTCTGATTAAACACTTTTCTTACCTGGTCTGCTGTTTCAGTGCAGCAGAGAATTTTAAAAGAGCAGGAAAAAGTAACCTGTCTCACCTTTAACTTCACAAGCATGGTACAAGGTCACACTATGACCATTTTAGGTACATGTTGGGCCAGCTGAACCTTGCATTTTTCTCTCTGAGCCAGTACGGGTCACATACAAACCAAAAGAACACTGGCCCAAATAGCATATAAGAAATCTACCTGATGATATATGAAAATAGCTCTTAAATTTAACAAAGCATCATAAAAAGCCAGTGTCATAAATATTATAGTTATTCATACGGTATACCTTCCAATAGACAGAAGTAGATAAAACAGACTTTATCGGAAAGCAGCAAATATAAAGACAAAGCTACATGAAAAAGACACCAAGCCCTCAGAAAAGTAAAACTGAATTATACCAGTTAAAATACAAACACATCTTAAACAAGGGTTGGGGGTGGGGGGAAGGCAATGTGTTGTGTATGTGGAGGTGTATTTAGTTTGCTATAGAAGCATAAAAAAACGAAGGACTAAAAGTTCCTGCTGTGTCAGACACTTTTCTAAGTCCTAGGGACACAGTCAGCAAACAAAGTGGGCCATGTCCCTGCTCCCACAGAGCTCACACTCTGCTGCTGGCAAAGCCCATTTCTAAAGTATCCTAAGCAACAGCCTGCAAATACTTCTATCCCATCGGTGACACTGTAATTTGAATGAGATGCATACCCTGGGCTGCTCTGGCCTAATGACACTGAATCTTAAGGCGCATACAGTTGACTTTTGAACAGAACAGAGGTTAAGGTAACTCTTCCACCCTGCAGTAGACAAAAATCTACATATAACTTTTGCCTCTCCAAAACTTAAGTACTGCACCCTGCTACTGACAAACAGTCAATTAATACATATGCTGTATGTCATACGAGTTATATACAGTGAAAAACACTTGAGACCCGTGAGGTATTTTTGTTAGTTTGTTTTTTGCAGTGCTCGTGATCAAACCCAGGGCCCTGCACATGCTAGATAAAAGCTCTACAACTGAGCTACATTCCCAGCGCTGAAACCAATTTGTGTTTTGGTGGGGGTGGTGCAGTACTGGGGTTTGAACTCAGGGCTTTGAGCTTGCCAGGCAGACACTCCACATGTGAGCCATACTGTAGCCCATTTTTTTGCTTTAGTTATATTTCAAATAGGATTTATGTTTTTGTCCGACACTGGCCTGAGACCATGATCCTCCTACTATGTCTTCCACATAGCTAGGATTACAGGCACTCCCCCACTGTGTCTGGCTTCTTGGTTGAGATAGGGGTCTCACTAACTTTTTGTCTGAGCTGGCCTCAAACTGCAATCTTCCTGATCTCTGCCTCCAAAGAGCTAGGTTACAGGCATAAGATCACTTTTTACCTCAATACACAATTTACTGGAGAGAGAAGCTGCTTATGCAGAGATGATCAGCCTAACACTAGGTTTTAAGTGGATACTCACAACACTTGAGATTACATAGCAACAGCAGGAGGTAGTTACAAAATCAGTACAGCAATATTAAACTGCAATATTACAATATTGTACTGCAATATTACAAGCAGTCGTGATTTAATATTGCATCTTTACATTTATTTACATTTCTCTGAATGGAAAATGGTGTAGTGTATGGTCTGTAAATGTTTTTATACCTAAGTTTTGATAAAATTTTAACTTTTTATAATAGATTTGTATAAATTTCAAGATAGTAAATGATAAACTATTACCTATATATATTTTAGGCATTCATAACATACCTTTT